CCTCCCCGGTAGTCTGAAACCACCGTTGCGTTTTCACGTATCCCTTTCACCTCCCCCTCCTTCTCCCTACCCTCTTTGGACTCCTACTGCAGCGGGTGCTTTGGACGTGTCGCCCCTCCCCCCCGGTTGCTTCGTTGAGTTTTGTCGCGCACATAACTCCCCCTTTGCTCCCCTTTCCTCTCTCGCTGTTCCCCCGCTCGCTCACCCCCTCGTTACCCCCTCCTGCTCCAGGTTACGGTGCCCACGGCCGAGGTCTCCACCGCCTCCATTGGTGGCACCGGCCTGGTTGCCCCGGGCCTGGTGCTGCTGGGGTTCAAGCCGCTGAGCTGCCTGCGGCCGCACCACTGCCTGCGGCCCGCGGTGTTCCTGCGGCCGGATGAGAGGGCCGCGGAGGGGTCCACTCGCACCTTCATTGCAGTGTGGAGGGCGATGCTGGCGGAGGGAAGATTTGCGCTATGCAGGTAGGCAGGGGGGTGAGGTGGGGTTGGGTGGGAAGGGGTGGGGGCTGGGAAACTCATGCCACTGTTATATATGTAGATATAAATGTGAATAATTTGCTTACTAAGAAATATAATAATTTACATATAATACGTACATATAAACACAGGCTGAGGGCTCACACGTCCATCCCCGGCTGCAAAGAACATGCGTACACATACACGTAATACACAATACACAAATACAGGTGCCAGTGCTGCACCTCAGGTAAGGCTTTTTGAGTAGGGGTCCCGGCACCCAACATGAATCTCCAAACCATGGTAATGATGCAAGCCATGCGTACGAAACCCCATTGTGTAAGTACGGCAACCTCGTTCCCAAACGCTCCCGCGCGTCTAGGTACCGGAGAGCCAACTCGCCTCCCCAGCTGGTGGCGCTCATGCCGCAAGACGAGGGTGTCGACGCGTACGGCATCCAAACTGATCCGCCTGGCATACACATGATTTTCCTTCCATACATGGACGACGTACGGTATCCTGAGACGGGTGCGTTTCCGCACCTCTCGCACCTTCCTGTGGCTAATAGCCGGCGTGGTGGCGGTCATAAGATGAGGATGACGACGTAGCGGGGTACGAGCCCGGGGTGTGCCCCCGGGTGGTGCAGGAGAAGCACCTTGGACGATAGGGAAGGGGAAGGGTGAAGAGCGTTCAGTACGCACCTCTCTGTAGACATCTTAAGCTACATCAAATCTTTACATCCTAGATTAAGTTACATCCTCCTCTTCAAGAGGAGAATGTACTCTTGTTGCACCCTTGTCAGAAGGTAAATCAGTCCTTAGCCTGTGAACGGGTTCAAAGCCGACAAGTGACAATCCCCTCGCTTTCCAGCACACCGTCACCAACAACCAACCGTATTGAAAAGCACCGCCGGACGTGGGGAAAAGGGTGCCTGAATCCCTCAATCGCTCAAACAACTGCCATTGGGTGTGTGTCTTAGTGTCGTTGCATGTGATTCTCGCCCGTACTCCTTACTCCGAGCTGCGCAATCACATTCCTGCTTCTGCTCTCCTCCTGCTTCTGCTCCCAGCTACCGGCATCCCCCCGCAGCAGCCCTCCGACCAGCAGCTGGCCGCCGCCGGTGCGCTGGTGGCCGCGCTGAACCTGGAAGCGGAGGAGCCCCTGGACCTGACCCGGGTGAAGAACCCCTGGCTCCAGAGACATTACCAAGTGCTGGAGGTGGGTCGTGACTTGTGCGAGGTAGAGGGGCGGGTGTGGAGGCATGCAAGGAGATATAGAAACGGTAGCTGCTTAGGCAGGTAGGTATAGCGCAGACAGGCTGGCAGGCACAGTACGTAGGTTGAGGGTTTAATTGTGGCGACTTGAAAGGTTTTAGCTCGTCAGCCTGCATTGCATACAATTGAACCACTTTCACTCCTCCATGTGCTGCTGATTCCCAGCCTCCCTGCCTCCCTTTGTTTTCGTCCCTGTCCTAATCGAACGATTGTTGATACGTTGTACGTATCAGGCTCTTGCGCTGTCGGAGCCCTTACCCACCTGGTCGGCGCTGGATGACGACACAACACGGCCGCGTAGGGAGCTGTTTCAGTCGGCGGAGGCGGCGGAGGCCATAGAGGTGCGTGAGGGGCTGTGAGGATGCGTACCTGTGCGGTGGACGGCGTCAGTTGCCCACCTAGCCATGCCTTTTACACACGCGAGGCGCTCTGGCCGTCGTAGCTTGCCACTGATGACGCCCAGTATGCGTAAAAGAACAAGTGTATGTTGCCAGGGCAGGCCCCTACATAGACCACGACGTGCTAGAGACGGGCGGTATTGCCGAGGTTTGGGTTGGTGGACGGACAGACGGTTAAGCGAGGAATGCCTAGCGCTGCAACGGCTCCGGGGCGAAGGCCAGCGCGAAGGGCAAAAACGGCAAGACGCTCCGCGGCCCTTTGTGCTCTTTTTCGCCGCGCTCACGAGCGCCATCCCACCATGAAGGTCCCCAACACCGGGTCATGGCGCAGTGAGCTGAATACCGTGTTTCGGGCGCATGCACCGCACCGCCCCACCTCCTTCCCCAAGAACCCCTCCTTGCCAAATGCTTCTTGCGCTCAACACCTATAAGGAATTCAGCTTTAGCTCAAACATGGAATGATCTTACCTGGCCGCCATGAACTCCCCTTCCGGCTCCCGCACCGTGAGGTTCCCCTGCTGCCATCCCCCCATGAGCTACTTCGCCTCCTCTGGTGCTGCCACTGTGTGTGTGTTGGGGGGGGGGAGAAACGGTATTGACTACCCTGATGTTTCGACGTGTTTTTTGCACACACACGTCCTTTTTGCTGTCGTACGTGCAGGCATTCCGACAGGCGTTTCCCCAGCAGGCAGCGGGTGGCGGGGCGGGGCGGGCCGCCAAGCGCAAGGCGGATGGTGAGCCGGGTCCAGCAGCGGTCATCAAGGCACAGAAGGCGGAGGCGGTGGCGGATGCGTACAGCGGTGCGTGCGTGGCGCTAGCGTGGGCCTCCCTGGTGTATCCATCCTGGGGTCGGTACAGAGCTTGTTGGCCATAGCCTCATTCATTACACCTCTCTGGGTAACGCAACCGAGGTGTAAAACGCACACGCATATGTATATGTGGTGGACAGTGATGAAGGCTGTGAACAGGTGAATACCTTGGTGTGATAACATCGCCGAGGATGTAGCTATGACGTGGCTAGGCCGTGCAGACCCCGGGTCTCAGTGCTTTCCAGGGACCCCCGTCCAGTCGGGTTGCTTTGGCGATATGGGAGCCGGCAGCGCCGCAAGGCTGGGTCTTGGCTGGGCCTGAGATTGGACCTGAAGCTGCACCCCACCCGCCCGCTAGCTGTGCTGAGTGCTGCACGTTTACTACCCGCTACCGGCTGTACCACCACCACCACCGGACGTTTTTGTACTGCAGCCATCGACTGGGAGGGACTGTACCGCTCCAACGGCCTGGCCAAGCTGACAAAAGATGACCTCACCCTTTACCTGCGGTACGTACGTAGGGGAATCTTTTGTTTTATTTGCGTGTCTACGGCGCACGTACAGTCGGCTAATGTTTAATACCGCGTGTGGGGATAGGTAACTTAAGGGATACATGACATAGCGTGTAGTCGGCATACGGCCGTAGTGCGCTGCAGTCGCCTCGAGGCGCACCAGGGACACAGTGGGCGCTAGGGACACATCATCCGACAGCCAGCCATCGCGTGCATGTGGTTCCAGGCGATCCGGCACTATTGCGTTTTGCCTTCGCCGAAGGCGCTTCACCTCCCTCCGCGGATCCATCGTGCCCTTGGCTTCTCCATTGGTCCAACCTTCCGCTGCCTGGTTGCTCGGAAGTCGCCCCGCTTTCTCCTAAATTGTTCACCTGCCTGCCCTGACGTGCTTGCCCCCTTGCCTGCTTCTGTTCCGCATCCTCATGTGACCCCAATGTATGTTGGACGTGTGGTCCTATGTGGTGCAGTCGTCACCAGCTCAAGGTGACGGGAAAGAAGGACGATCTGGTGCAGCGGGTTCGGGAGCACCTGGCGCAACACGCAGGGGAATGAGCGGAGGGTTGCGCGGGTAGAGGTGCAGGAAGGACGTGGATAGTGCGTTGCTGTGAGCTGTGGGAGCTCGATAGGGTGCGTGGGATTTGCTATGTGTTTGGACCTTTTCGCCGAAGAAGGATTGTAATTATTTCAAAACATGACGCGTTGGCTCGATGTCGTACATCAACCAACTGTGGATAGCTGTATGCGGAGTAGGTTTTTCGTCAGTGGTGCAGGGGTAATGGGGTAGGACGGAATCCAAGTAGTGTACATAAAAAGATTTTCTGTTTTACCTGCATGTTTAGAAGCCTCCGGTTTAAATGCTGTACAGTGTTACGTGGTGAAACAGATCCTCCGTTTCTGGAACTGCCTTCAAAAGCAAGTGTGGTCCATTGCTCATGCAGTTTTACGGCAGGAGATAACCAATGCTCTGACCAACCCGGAATGGGAAGGTTGGGGAACCTCAATGCTTCGACTGTTTTCCATCTTGGAGTGCAATATTTGGAGCGGAATACCGCAAGAAGTCATGGGGGTAAAGGAGCGTGTTGACTGGTGGTTGAGTAGACCTCTCCTCGAAGGAGCAGTGATAACGGCACTAAGGGAGCGTTTTTGGAGCGGCTGGGACCATACGCGTCTGACTGTCTTGCCAGAGGAGTACCCATCAGATGGGAAGCAACCGGGAGTGCAGATGGCGAAGTATAAGCACTGGATGGGGCTGCCCTTTTCGGGAGCCGCAGCCGTCATGTGGCCAACACATGCTAAAGTTTTCATTCCTCATTTAGCACATCGTAAGCTAATGCAGTTTCGTTTATGTTGCTGGGCTTTGGAGGCAAACAGAGCACGAAGGGGCAAGCACCATGTCCCCAGGGAGCTGCGGTTTTGCCGCTGTTGTGGTACCAATAGCCAAGTCGAGGATGAAAAACACGTGTTATTAGAATGCCCAGCCTATAATGATATTCGTGCGGAAGAGGGTTTCGATCGTCAACAGAGCATGTTGGAGGCCATGAAATGGGAGCCAGCACGTCTGGCGAGGATGTTGGAACGTATGTAGGCTCACCGCAACTCACTTATCCCCTTTGGGCGCTAGCCTGGGCTGATAGTGCGGTGTTTCCTTTCCTCCGTGGCTCTTAGGCGTTGAAGTATTGGCCTTGGACCTTCGGCTCGTATGGGTAATTTTACAGGTATGGGGTCACGCACCCCCCAACCATGTAACACACACACACACACAGAAATGCTGTGCTGGTCTAATGCTAGCTGACGACATGCTTAGTGTGGGTGGGTGGTTGAGTTTGTTGAACAACCTACGTAGTATGCGTAGTGTGCGAGTTGCACGTTATGTTCCATGTCAAGGCACTATCTTCAAGGTCAAGTTAACTTTATTCACAACAACATGGTACGGCACGCCGCTGTACAGCAGGAACCGCGCCGGCAAGCCTGAATGTGCCGCATGCCCACCTGCATACCAACTCCATAACTGTTCCCCTTACCCCTTTCAACATCGACCATTGTCGCTCCATCAGAATCACTGCGATTCCCTCGCGTGCATTGCAGAGGCCTATTCTAGCATAGTCTTACATCGCCACGCAGCCTTCTAGATCTTCACTTCGACTTGCATCTTGACGAATTGCATCTTGGCACCTCTCCTGCTCTCCTATCTCCATCGCAGCCGGCTTGCACGCCCCTACGGGCAGTTTCCGCCGTACAATTGTACATCAAACATATAATTGTCGTGACCATCCGCATAAAACACGAGCCTACTACGTTCTACCCACCCTAAACAGCCCGAGCAAGCTAACCAACAAAATTTGGGTACTTTTGCATCGTTTGGATGCAGCCATGCAAACGTTTATATGGATGTGAGCCTTCATGCTGCACAATGTGTGCATTCTTGGAGTCCTCGCCGCCTGCTAGCGGTCCCACGGACCTTGAAAGGTAGCAACCTACCTACCTACCTACCCAATTGGGAAGCTAGTAACCTAACTACATACCAACCTACTTGCCAACCTACTTAATCGTCCTCCGTCAAGTCAATGACGTCAGCGCTGCTGCTGCTGGCAGGAGCTCGGTCCAACGAGGGCCCACCCCCGTCTGCCGCTCCGTAAGACAACCCCCAGGTCTGTATTGGTAATGCGGTTGTGGCCGTTAATGATGATGATAAGCTCCTCCCCACACCCCCACGACCCTGCCCATGAGCTGTAATTTCAACACTACCGTCTTCAGTAAACTCTCCACTTTCAGATGATAGGTGCTGCTCGCGCTCCTGCCGCTGCTGTTGCCCCTCTTGACACGTCGCAGCAGCAGCAGCAGCAGCGGCAGCGGCAGGGACTCCTTGGTTCTTGGGTAGTTGGGCCCTCTGCTGCTGCTGGTGTTGCTGCTGGTGAGACTGCATCCGTGCAAGAGCAGCCGCGGCAGCACTTGCAGCCGCGGGATTCCGGAGCTGTAGCGCCGTCAGCGGCGGCGGCGGCCGCTGACCAGCAGGAACCGCCCAAGCAGCATGTTGTCGAGATTCCCGAAGTCGCAGTAGTCCTGCATCGCTGCTGCCGTCGCCGCCGCCACTACCACCAGGCCTAGTCAGCACTCCAGGAGGATGGCTCTTCGTCGCAACACCAGCTCGCCCTCCTTCCCCACTGCTGCCGCCCATCTCTGGCTCGCCTCCTGATGCTCCTGCTGGGGCTGGGGCTGTGCCGTCCTCAACACCACGGCGGCGGCCTTGCCACAGCCGGTCCTGGCGCTGCTGCTCCTCCTGCTGGAAGGCTAGGGACGTCGCCCGCTGCACCCCGATATCATCATCGAGATTGCCTTGATCTGTGTCTTCTGCGTTATCCGCCTTCTCCAGGTCCTGGTCCGAGTCCGAATCCAAGTCCAGTGTCAGATCTATGACACCTTCCTCAATGCGGCGAACGAGATCCTCCTCTACTTCGGCCGCGGTTAGTTGGCGTCGTGACGACCGTTGGAGCGCACTGGGGGCAGCAGCAGCTTGGACGGGTGGAACAGGTGGCGCGAAACGGACAGCATCAGTAACTACATCGCCACCGCCAGGGCCAGCATTGTCACCAGCCGCCGAGCCGGCGCTCCCCTTCTTGGCCGCCGCCTGCTGCGCCTCTGCTTCCGCCGCCACTGCCCGACTAACTGCCCCCGCCAGCCGCTCGCAGGGGCACCAGCGGTTGTCCCGGCATCGCCGCTCCGCTGCCGCCGCGGCGGCCGCTGCCGGTGTGGCATAGCGAACCGGAAAGCCGCCATCGCTGCTCTCCCCGTCGCCGCCGCCCAGGCGACGTGGGCCTGATGTCATGATGCGCTGCCGCTTCGCGCGCTCCTCCGCCGCCTGGTGCCCAAGGAGCGCCGCCGCCAAACACCGCAGTACCGTTAAGCGCCCCCGACGTCATCGCATACAGTACCACCACACAGCACAGCAGGATGCAGCAGATTGCGGCGTCGTCGGGGGGCATAGCACGTCTTGTCGTAGCACGTCCTGGCACTATTAGTCGCTGTGCCATGCGACTAGTAACCTAGCGTACTTGTAACGTACGTGTGTGTGTGTGGAGTGCACTTGGTATTTTTACGTTGCTGTGGAAGTGCGAGGTGGCCCGTCCTCGTCCTCGTCCTCGCCCGCGCCGGACACACTCCTCCCTCCACTTATGAACGCAACGCACGAAGGAGCAACAGGTCGCCGGTACGCACGTGTGTAAGCAGAACCGATGATCAAAGATTGGTGTTGGGATTCGGTTGCGGATTTGGTGCTTGTCCGCTGCAAAGCTTTGCTCCACCATCCTATTGCTCCGCATAGGGCGCCTACCTCTTCTCCACTCGTGGCGCACACACACCCACACATGGAAACTGACACATGTCGTTTGGCGAAAGCAAATTCCTTTCTGCGGCTAAGCACAATTCCTTTCAGCCCAGCTCGCTCCCCAAGCCCAATGACGAATCTAATATAAAACATTTTCCCTCTGGCAATGCGGCAGAGGGACCTGCGGCCCCAAGCATGGTCACCCCGAAAATGAATCTTCCCCGCATGTAACTCCCGCGGGTTATACTGCTGCAATCCGCTCAATCCGCCCAACACTTTCACCCCGCATGTACCTTCTGGCAAGTCATCCTGCTCCCATTACCCCTCCCCATACAAATGCCCACCTTCAGAGCGAGGTCACGGAGCCTCCCGGGCGCCGGGTTGTGCAGGGGAATGAAGGCGTGGGAGCCCAGACGGCCGCAGGAGGGCCCATCGAAACCCACTCCGGTACCTCCCACCCCCCGCGCCATGAGCTCCTCACACTCCGCGGTTATCTCGTCCAATAACTTATAAAAGGCTCTGCAACAGGAGCCGCATACCGGGAGAGAAGAATGGAGTCAGATGCAAGGAGCAAAGCCCCCATCCAGCCAACCCACGTACCGGCACCCAACCATCAAACCGCCATTAATCCACCCGCACCCGCACACCCACCCGTCGTGGGGTCCTCGTACGTTGTGCACCAGCTCATGCAGCATGGTGCCAAGTACGGATTCGTACGGCAGAAAGGAATTGGGGTCGCGCGCAGGCCGTAATCGTACTACGAAGAGAGCCGGGATGGGGAGAAAAGCATGAGGGGGAAAGGTAGGTAGTAGGTAGGTAGATATGTTGGTAGGTAAGGAGGAAAATTGGAAGCAGTTCTGGCGATCTGAGTTAGCGCCATGGCGAGTGTGAGCGCGCGAGTGTGGCGGGGTAGTTGAAGGTAGAATGAGTTGTCGGTCCCGAGGACTCCCCTCCATGCACACGGGTCCAAGTTGGCGCACATTGAGGCAACAGGAAGAGCTGGAGAGTACATAACGCTTCGGATCCGTCCGGCCTTGCCTTGTGGCCGACGTGCTCCGCAGCTGGTTACCGCATGATGGTGGTGTCGGGGCTGCCTGCTGGGGCACCACGCGGCGTTGACCCTACCACCCCTACGGCCTTCTGAGGACTCCTCACCTTTGATCTCTCGGGTGCGGCCTCCGCCTCCGCCGACATTGAGACCGAGCAGGTTGGGGTTTGGCTGCAGGTTCCGGCCCAATGACACATGAGCAGAGAGGATCTCAAAAGGACAGTCGACCCAGAAACACGGTAGCACGGTAGAAGCAGCGGCAGCGGCAGCAACAACAGCACTTGTAATAGCAGCACGGTAGCAGCAGCAGCAGCAGCAGCAGTGCAGCAGGAGCAGCAGCAGGAGCAGCAGGAGCACGTATTTGCTGAGCGTAAACGCTTGTCGCGGTTTCCTAGGTATCACGGAAGGGTCCCGGGCCTAGACCTCGCACAGTCTTTGTGCAAGCGACCTATGTACCGATTCGTCCGTCACCCACCGGAAAGAATTCCGTTAGCAACGGCACTCGCCACTCCCGTCGGCGCATGATAGGTTGGACCTGAGAGGCCGGAGGAGCCATCGCCGTGGACGCCATTGAGGGGTTGAGCGCGCATGTCGGGGGAGCCAGTCGGGGTTCACCCCCTTAAAGTGGTCATGGTGTTTTCCCGGTGTTTTCCCTAGGCCACATTCTCCGCCCAGGCTAGAGCTTGAATATACAATTCACTTTCTTAGCTTACGGGTCCGCACCAAAATTGGCTCTTTGTTAATACAGCAGATGTACGGCCCTGCACAGATGACTGATCGACTTGATGAACCTAAGGGTGCTTCAGTGGTCCCGGATTTCGAGGTAATATGAGCACGCCATCATTATGGCATGGTCCGAACAACCCTGGCGCACCTGGTGTGAGATGCGCTTGAGCAGCTCCATGGCCTCGGCATCACGGAGCTTACCCATGGACCTGATGTCATGGACCTTAAAGTCCGCTTTGGCATCGTAAGGCGACATTGGCCGGCCCGTCTTTTGCAAAATGAAGCGCAGAACGCTGCGGCCCCGGCCCTTGGTGGCAGCGGAGCCCGCAAATAATTATATTCTAAATGCACTCCTGTCAATAACCAGTGGTCAACGTTTTGCTTCATTAAAAAGCTCACATCTTCTGGCTATGGAAATCCTGACTAATCACAAACAAAATCCAGATTTGAAAAGCGTTTATGTGTTAGCATCATCAATCTGTGCTACACAAAGCGTGATCCCCCTATCGTAATAGCTTGTGCTGTGCGTGATACGTGTGTACGAACCCGACACGTACAGCGCGCTTGTTTGAGATCAAGAGAGGAAACGATAGACTTTTTTCATGCACTTTAACAGACCAGACCTAAAAGCGAAGGAACAAGCACGCATGAAAGCTGAAAGTCCACCAACGTCGCACTTAATAAACCGAGATTGAAAGGCTACAAAACCTACGCAACTGGATCTATCCGTGCATACCCTGCAGAGTGCCATAAGGCAAAGCTCATCCGCTCATGCACCGATAAACCAAAACTACTTCGCTCCCCATCCGGCTCGCCTGGAGGTTGACCCTGGCCTGCCAACACTCAATGCCGTACAGGTCCACGTTCAAAATCTGCCCACATCCTCGACCCTGCGCGCAGCTTGACCCGTCAGACCGTTTCGCAAGCCGCTGGCATCTTGCCACGATCCTGGTCGTTTTCTAACCCAGACATAAGCTTTTACTGTTCAGCGCGCGCGAAGAAAAGAGATGTTGGAACTTGGAAGGGTTCCAAAACGAAACCACCATTACCCTCCAAGCAAACACGTTTTTTTCTCGTCGTAAATTCCGAACATTTCCATTTCAACACTGCTTACGAGTGCCCAAGCCGTCCTGTTTAAACCCTTCCCCTGTCTCTCCCACCATCACTTCTTCTCTCCCGTCCCCGCCACCCTCCTTGGACATCTCCGGGGCGAGAGAAGTCCAGGGCCGCGAGCGATAACGCCTCCGGGTCGCCACACACAGCCCGTGGCTGCAAATCAAACACAGACCCTCCCCTATCCACGCTGCTAAGGATATGTATTATGCCTACGGGTAAGCCGCCTGGGGTCCCACCCCCCAGCAGGCCTCTTCATGCCCAGCAGCCAGCCAAGCCAAGCCCCCCGCCAAGGCGCACTCGCTCCTCAGCTCGTCCTGCGCCTCCTCCTCCTCCTCCTCCTCACTTCTTCGGCTCCACAATCGGGAACGCCGCCTCAAAAGCCGCCTGCTTGTCCCGGCAGCGAGCAAAGCGGAGTCTGCGACCACCACGGCAGTTGAGTTACTGTGCGGTACGGATCTAATAGTCCCTCCCTTAGGGCTTTTTGACTGCACATGAAGCACATTACTTCACATAGATGAATTTATGCGTCGCGAATCACGCATCTATTGATGAGTTCGCTCGAGCTGAGCCGCGGAGAAACTGATGCAAAGTGAGCCCCCTCCCCGCAAGGCCCAGCAACATGCACACACACACACACACACACACGTCCCTCCCGGAGGCCCTCTTACGTCCCGCGGTGGAACCACCGCAGGGAGTACCCCCAGTGGGGGGGAAGGGGGGGGGTGCAAGGTGGCAACGCGGCGAACGTCACCAGGAAGAGGAAGAGCAGTGAAAGCAAACAAAGTAAAGTCTTTGAATTAAGGCGGCAGCCGTAGAGGAGGGCGTGAAGTGCGCATGGTTTAAACTACCAAACGACTTGAACAGCCGGAAGGCCGCCCGCTTTCACGCCGTGACCCATTTTGCTCCCAGGTGTGTAGGCGCGAGATTGTGGTGTAGATGTGCACGTGGAGCCTATTATTCCGCGTGTGGTGTGTGGTTCATTTTGGTTGTGGTGCAGAGGCGCACCCAAGGCCACGGTTGTGGACAACGCTGCACGCACCCCTCCGCACCCCTCCGCACCCACAAGCCCCCAGCGTCATATCGCCTTTCCGGTGATCCCACGTGCAAGCCATTTGGGTGCATTCAGTGCGCTTTCATGTGAATGAGACACTTTTTGCATGTGGAAGGGGCACAACGCTCCAGTCCAAAGCAAAAGCGATCTTACAGCCTGCAGGAGTGTGCCCAGGTACGGTGGGCTGAGAAAGCGCCGGTAATCCCCCTCCTTAGGCCAGGGCTGCCCGGGACGGGACAGGCTGCCAAGACCCAAGAGTCCGAACTGGCTGCGGCTGGTGACATGAACTTACCCATACCAGTCCAGGCATTGGGCATATTCCTTAAACTCAGTAGGCGCCTTCTCCATGATCTCCTTGTAACTGCAAGGGACCATCGCGGCAATCAAGACTGAATTGCGCCAAAAGCCCAAGCGAAAGGAACATTAGAGATATCAGAACACACTTTCACAATAAAATGGTTATGTAATCTGGATGCAATGAGTATACCTCCGGTAGGCAGACTACACCCCGAAGCCCCGTGCTTACAGCTTGTTCGTCGCCCGGACCAGCGCCTCCGACTCTGGCTTGCAGTCTTCTGGCCAATCGTGCTTGCCCTTGCACTCCACAGCAGCTTTGTGCTCCTTCTCGGCACGGAACACAATATGCCGGCTCATCGCATATAGCTCATGGGAATAGGGAACCCGTACTGGTGAGGACATTTTGAATACTATGTTACTAACAATGTATGCAAGAGGTGCACTTGGCTGCACTAGTGAGCAAGCACTATCCCTAGGTAGCCCCGATTACACGATTTACACCAGTACAAGCCCCTCAAATTTCACACGTCAATACGTTTGTTGCGTATAGGGACTAACATGAGGGACAGCTTACAGTACTACCAACAACACCGTAGTACGGCAACACGATTTTGTAGCTTCGACACGAGAGTTCACCAGCTCGGGAATTTTGTGCAACTAGCAAGCCAGACACATAGCAGTTCATTATGAGAATGGGCGCCTGGTTAAAGTTAACACATTTTCGTAATGTCGAAAGCCATCATTAATAATACTTACGTTCCCGCATTGACCATACCTTGAAATGTTGTACAGGATCTGATAAGTCCAACCTAACCCACGGCGCTTGTCGACGGTATCCACTGCAGGAGGAAACGAGGCACTGTTTGCAGCGGACGCGATACATAAGCGCCATCGGTTAGCAAAGCCTTACAGTGTATATAAACCAGCAGACCGAGACACGGCTTCACAGCTCTCATGTTGTGGACGTTTGACAGAGCGGACGATACGTGCCGTGCCCTTGCTTAACAGCGTGTATGTGTAGTAGCTGGCCGCTGAAAAGGCCTCTCGAGATGCTGGTGGTCGCGCTACGCGCGTATTTGTATAGCCGTACTGTGTACCAGCTACTCAGTATGGGGCGGTGCGCCTGTTTGGGATGAACAAACTGTCGGCGTGCCTTCTTTACCGACTGCTGCACCGCAACGGACATCCCCCGCTTGATTGCAACTATCTTTACAATTAATAATGCAACCAAAAGATCAATCCCCTTGCAGGGCGTGTTATTGCACGAACTGCACAGCAGAGGGTTGGACCATAAGGGGTACTAGGTCCTATAGCTCCTATCACAAGAGGCTACAGGAGAATGCAACGAATGTAAGGAATAGTATTACCTATACAGTGACCTCGTATCCCTACCCTGGTCCCTTAGCCATCCTTCCATTCCTAGTACCCATCCATTCCCCGGGCGGGCGCCCCCTCCTTGCACCCTTCCAGTCCTAGCACCCCGTCCATCCCCCCCGGGCGGGCGCCCCCTCCTTGCACCCTTCACTTCCTGGCTTCTTGGTACCTACACCCACTTCTTGTGTGTTTCGCCCATTTCTGGCACCGCCACTTGGATGGTCTTCCACACCTCCACTCTGGCACAATTGCTACTATATGCAACTCATTTTTTCAGATTCCCAAGATGCCCAAGAAAATTAGCTATGAATGTGTTCGCATCGATACCGGCGAACGTTTCCCGTTGGGGGGCAGACATGGGTGCGGGGCCCGAGACAAGAATTCGAGAAATATCTTGTTCACACTTGAGGAAGACATAAGGTGAAAAAAGCTTCGAATGTATTTAAGCTGGTCGCGCGGCAGGCTTGGTGAACGACATGGGCATCAAGTGTCCAGCGCCGCAGTTCAGGTCTCGTCTGTTCGTGTGGAGGTCCATTGAAAGCTGCCCTGGGACCGAACACAAAACTGAGACTAAACTGTCCCTAAGAACGCAGCTTTATAAAATTTCGACCCTTCAAGACGCCTGCACTGTGCGCATCAAGTTCAAGCCCCAATTGTCCAAACCTACATCCCGTATCATAGCCGCTGCGCTATTTTCACCCAAAGGCTTATGCCAAAAAGGCTCCTATTGTTGGAAGGAAATTTATTTTTGGAAGGAAACTATTTAACAGGTTAGTCGATAGCCCTAGAAATAGGTAATGAGACATCAGCACATCAGTACACAGCTCTGTCAGTGATTTGGACGTTAAAGTGCTAGATTTCTATCTATAAGAACGACGGGTGTTTGTTGGAAAAGCTTAAATGGGCATATGGTATGTACTACGCTTCGTCATATTTTATCGCTTGCTCGGCTTTTCGCAGGCGCTTTAACTCAAGGGCAAACTCAAATTTTATGCGCGTATCAGCTCACTCCTTGATTTATTATGCAAACAATTCGATCGCGACATTGATGACGAGCAGGGGAACGGAGCACGGGGGAATTGCGAAAATCAAACCATAGAAGAGTGGTTTGTTCCAAACGGGTGCTCTGGATGTTTCCTCGTGCAAAGTATCTCATATATAAAATATTAGTGCTTCGAAACTAACCCGGCCGTCATAGTCAACCAATCAGGCTCCGATAACTGCGCCCTCTCCCTGCTTCCACTCGTCTCCAAGTCCAACCGGCGAATACGTAAAAATAAAAAGCAAGACATACCAGAAAATTGTAGAGGTGTAATGAAAAAACTCAACTTGCACATGGGGTCTTCCAGGCGCCATCAGGCAGCTATCACGCCTGCCTACATTCCCCAACTACCGCAACCTTGTCTCTAACCGTCGTTTATCAAAAGGCGGGAACTTAAAAGCACCCCACAGCTACACGCAACAACAGCCCACATTAGTTTGGATTTCCCCTCAAGTCTTTAAGAAACCTACATTTGATCCAAAAATTGTACGACTCTGTTGCTTGCGTCATCCACAATTAGGCAACCCGTCGTCAATCTGTCCGTCCGTCTGCCTAGTAAGGCCCCTTGCATGCGCACGTATCTGTTGTGTCTATCTGACGCCATAAACGAGGTCTCGCCTGTCCACGTATCGATCATGTATCCACACAAAAAATGAACTAATAGGCAATAAGTCCGACTTTCCGTCTGCAAAACGTCAGCAGTAACCAAGCACACCGACCGGCAGACATACAGGCACACAGACAGGCCGACAAACATGCAGACATGCAGGCCAACAACCAGGAACCCATACAGCGCTGGTGACCATCCACATGGGACAGCACAGCCTCCTAGAACCCCTGCTGTGCAGCCTCACTAGGATTATTAGGCCCACCTGTCCGTAGACCTCACACGCACACGCCTAGCTGCCCGCTGAATAGCCCCATTCGGCCACTCTTCATTTCCGCTCTGTGAAACCCCCATCCCTGGGCCCGCATCTGACAGACAACTTGCAACGCCGTCTTGCGCCCACGCTTGTTGACCCCATCCACTAAAGGAGAGTCCCTACCCCCTCGATATACACATACTTAACGGTATCCCTGCAAGGGCTCCCCACAAACACCTGAAGCTGTAAAGGCATATCTATGGCACATCTTCACCTTTTTTCCTTCGCTCCTTTTCATTCTTCCTAGCAAATGATTGTCGCCCCTGTTACCGATACAAGGTGGCTCGCGATGCAAATACTCGCCAAAGTCAACGGACCAACCCAAGCAACCCAACCAATTCAATCCAAGGAGTCCCACGCAAATCCACGCAAGCACCTCTCAACGCCTCCAGGGCGGCTTAGCAGACCCTCAAGGCTGGCTGCCGCAAGGCCTTACCACGGCAGGCAGAAGCCAGCAGGCGGGCAACCGCCTACAGACGAAGTTATCAACGGTCAACGACTACGAGGCCGACAGTATGAGAACAACAATGTCATACGGTTCGGTAAGTGGGTAGAAGGTCATGTAGGCAATGTAGCACCCTTGGAAAAGGGCCATAATAACAGATCTAGAGCGGGCCGGTGGGCTGTATCGCGCCCGCTCCTCGCAGTGAACCCGGTCAGGAAGACAAAAAGGACTATCTACTATCGACCGAGATGGATATGTACGGACTTATGCACGACGGATCGTGTCGGCAACAAGGAAGTGTCTAGGCATGGATAAATATGCTTTCCGCCAATATGCATTCCTGGATCGCCCATCTCACTCTTCTTGAGGATCGCAATCACATTAAAATCACGTCATCACATGTTCCACATAGAACTTGAATGTATACACGTGCACATCATACCTGTACATTGTCCATGTACAGCAACACAAGTGCGCATTATTCCTAATGCCATGTTTTATATATACCGCATGCGACGCGCCCAACCATGAAGCCGTCACTCTTTTCAGCACGCATGATCACACCGGACGTCCGCCCTTCACCCCTCCAACCGCGCTACGCATTTTCCCCCACGCCACTCCACGCAAATTAAATCCGCCAACACGATGCTAGCTACCCACTCACGTACGTACGTACCTACCTACACACATACATCATTTAGTCGCCCAGCGGAACATGCCGCAGCGCCTGCGTCGCACCCAGCAACCCACAACGGCCCAGGAGCTCCTCATCCGCGGAAGCTGCGGCGCCCGCCTCCAGGCCCCACGCTTTTTGCGCCCAGTCTTGTGGCCAGGGCTTCAATCCCAGGTGAGCCGCTGCTGAGAGGAACAGCTGATCCAAGTGACTCAGAGTGCGACCGAAACTGCGAATGAGAGGGGCGATGTGTAGGCAGGCACACAGCTCGGCACGGCTCAGCGCGGCAGGGAACACAGGGGCGTGCGGAGGACGACAACGTGGGGAAAAGGCAGGTGGGGATATCAAGGGGGCAAGCGGCCTCGGAACGGGGCCACAATTGCGGATGGAAGAAGTCGAAGAGCCTCTCCGAACGGGAGGTCCGAACCTCCAACCCTCTGCTTTATCGGCGGTGCCTCCGGAACCTGCAAACTAGGCAGCCTTAACACGTTACGACACGAAGGACCTGTCACCAAGCGTCCGTACCTGTACCATCGCTGGTCGTATACTTGCCGTACAAGCAGTGGCGTCAAGTCCCCCAGGGCGCAGGCCGCTCCCAAGTCCAGGCCAGACTTCCTTACCAGCCGCTCTATGGTCCAAACGCGAACCTGCCGTACGGTACGGACAAACACCGCACGTTACTGCGTGTATCAAGCACCGAGGCACCGATGGAAGGGCGATGGGCAAAATGCCGTACACACAACGGAAACAGTGACAAACATGACTCAGAGATTATGCATTTTCGTGTTCGCGCTTCCGTGCGGTTTTGTCCCGCTTCATGAGGTTCTGCTTGCCTTTCCTCGCCCATTCCCCCTATCCTACACAGACAAACACACACATAACACGCACACATAACACGCACACATACACGCACACATACACGTCCTCCCGCCCGCACACGCACCTCAGCCAGTGTCTTGTGCCAGCCCAGCCCCTCGCGCATCACCCGGTCTGCAGCCGCGTCACCCGCATTGAGATCCAGAACTAAATCGTACTGCAGCAGCAGCTTCTTGGCAACTGCCTCATGGGCCTCCCCAATGCCGTGCAGCGGCGCGTGAAAGGCACGCTCGCCCACCAGCGTCCTGTATCCGCGAGGCAACGGGGAAGGGGGGAACGGGGCTCGAGGGCGGCGAGGTTGCGTACTTAAGAGGTTTATACGGTATCATACAGCTAGTAAGCTGTGACAGCGCTGTTTCGCACTGTACTGTACAGTACTTTATTTTACTGTGCCGTAATGTGGCAGTCACGTTCTGTACATGTGCACTGTTGCCTCTTTTCCATCAGGACGCAAAACACATCTTCCGCCGGCCTATCACTCACCGTATGTTGTAGTTGTCCGCTACGGGGGGCGAGTACATCTCCCATACGGAAGCAGACGCGTTGCAAAAGAGCTGACGAAATAGCTCCGGACCGGGATGCCTTCGAAAGAGCGTCGTGCGTAATCGTACGAGCATGTACTTGATGTTGCTCACAAGCCGCGACAGGGGCTCCCTAAGCAGGGTGGTCCCGGCGGGGTGAGGGGCAGGAGAAGAGTGGGAAGGAAGGCGAGGGGTGGCAAGGGGAGATGGAAAGGGTTTAGGAAAAATGCAACGCAACCCAGCCACGAACCGTCAACGGGCGACCCAAGATATGTACTCGTTGGTAGCCACGCATAGCCAGGTAGACATAATGCAGGCAGGAAAGCAGACAATTAGGCAGGCGACCTGGCAGACAGGCTGAGCGTCAAATAGCCAAGCAGGCAAGCAGACAAGACAGACAGACAGACAGACAGACAGACAACCAGACAGACAGACAGGCAGACAGGCACGCAGACGGCGAGCAGGCTAGCAGAAAGGCAAGACTAAAGCCGACAATCCGGCATAGACGCAAAACCCGCAGGCTTACAGACAGACACACAGCTAGACGCACTGTTAAACATGTTCAGTGCACGCACGTTTGCGCATCGGTCATGAACCCTTTACCTGATGCTAATCACATTGACGAATTGGGGACATATGTGCGTGTCGTACATGCTGTACACGCCGCCGTGCAATGTATACTCGTTGGATATGTACTGGTAGCCACGTGCTAGAGAATGGTGTAGACGATCGACGCAGTCGCGCATGTGTGAATGTCGTTCCACCATGTCGAAGCGAGAGCACACCCTGCCAACGTGTCGGGTTGCATGCCGTACCACACATGAATACATACATGAGTATATATATATGTATATATATGTATATATGTATATACATACATATATATGTGTATATATGTATATGGGGGGGGCAGGGCGTTGTGTGCTCGGAGGTACATCGCAATTGCCGCCAAGTTGTGGATTGGAGGCGGCTTTAAGTGGCAGCTTCTGCAGCCCTGCTATGCCCTTATCAGGACAATCTCAATACATGTAAAAGGCCATACATTCCGGCCACGAGCAAGACCAGAAAGTAGGCATCCGACAAACAATGAACAGGAACCAGGAAGCAGATGTGAAGGCGTGTTGGGCCCTTCGACTCACTGCCCGTTGCTGTTCCGATGTATTTCGATGCCCAGATCTCGCAGTAACGTGCCGTTAATCCAGCGGCAATCGTCGTCAAGACCTCGAACACGAGCGGCGTTGGCGCGGGGCTTCTGGCAGCCGCTGAGGCCTGCGAGGGGTGCGCGATTCGGCGGAGGGAATACGGCGCTGGGAACGACCAGCAGAACGACGAGCAGACCGAATAGAATAGAGCGAGCGGATGGGGAAAGACTACGAAACGCAGACGAGTGGCGCTGATGGGGAAAGTGAATGGGGGAGAGACGCTGCCAGGATACCCCACCTGGAGAGGTTACATGGCTAAGCTCAGCAGCGCAAGCACAACCCCCCTTTAAGCCACAACATACAGGCTGCTGCTGCAGCTGATCACAGCAAGGAGTGTGCTGAACCCCGAAGCTATACAAGGCCCCATTCCGGCCGCTGGTCCACTCAGCTACATTAACCGCCAACTACCAACTACCAACTGCCAACCGCCCTCCACGCACCCGCCGCTGAGGTCCAGCTGGTGCCGCCCGCCTTGGAGATGTGGAAGTATTCCATGATGGCACGTTGCGCCACGGATTCCACGTGAATTTCGTACATCTGTACGACATGTACGATTGTACGGTATGCCACAGTCAAGCCTTTTGCATACCTCACGCGCACCTTGCTATCCAATTTCCGGAACACTTTTCCTTCTTCCCTTCCTCCCTCCCTCCCCCTCTCTTTCCCTCCCTCATTTTCCCCCCCCCTTCCACCTTCCCTCCTCCCCTCCTCTCTCCCTCCCTCCCCCTCCTCCCTCCCTCCCTCTCTCCCACACAAACACACAGACCCATGCATGGGCACAGACATACACACACAATCACGTACAGTGTAAAAGGAAAAAAATTGCGAAGTTTGCTACCGCACAAAACTAACAAAGCTCACAAACCCGGAGCACGTACCTGTTTAACCAATCGCGCGAAGTCCTCCTCAATTGCAAAGGACAAATCCGGAACTCCTAGCCGTATCCCGTTCATCCAGCCCAGCAGCAGCTGTGCCAGCAAAACCCGCCGTACTAACGGCAAACCGCCGTACTGCACGCCTGTAATGTTGGTGGGAATCTCCGGCATCATGGACAAGTCGTCGGCAGCGGCATCATCGTCGCTGAACTCATCACTCCCTAAGCCCGTCGCGCCCCAGTCCTCATCCCTATCGCCATCAACCGCATCGCCCCCATCTCCGGAATGGCGCCGCGCGTTGCCCTCTGCTTCGCCCTCTCCTTCGTCGCCCGCGCCGCTGTCCCCGCCTATGGTTACATCAATGGCGCGGGAGCCTCCTTTGCTACTGCTGTTGCCGCTGCTGCTGCGAGCAGCTTTACCAGCGGGAGTTGCCGCCGTCATCAATGCCCGCCTGGAAGGCAATCCGGTTACTGTAGCTGCCTCAGCGCTGTTTCTAGTATGATCTCCACCGCTGCCACTGCCACAGCCATCACCGCTACTGCTGTCGCCAATGCAGCCGGCACCAGTGCCCTTGGCTCTGGGCCTCGGTGGTACCTCCATGAGACCCGGCACATCGTCCCCTTTGTCGTCGGCCGTGTTCCGGTCCGCCGCGGTGGCGGCAGCGGGCGCGGGAAAAGCGCGTTTGGAGGACAGGAACACTGCCACGTCGGCTGCCGCATCTGCCAAACTCTGTGCGGTTAGTCTCTGCTGGCGCTGTCTTCGTTGGTGGTCCTGCAGGAAGGCGGTGGCGGCTGCGGTCCAGTTGGCCAGGGCTTGCCGGCTGGTGGGGCCGCGGGGGTAGGTGCGCAGGACGGAGGACAGGAAGGACAGGGTGTCGCCCTGGAGCAGCTCGGGGACAGGGCTTGGGCAACGAGCCACCGCAGTTCCATCACCGTCGCTATGTTTACAAGCATGTAATATCTGTACCATTTTTCCGGCCACGTCGACGACATAGGTCAGCTGAACTGCCAGGTCGTGGTCATGGCTGATGCGTGAAGCAAGGACGCCGGCGGAGGGTTCTGGGCCCATCTGACCAGCTGTGACGTTCCATTCCAAAAAGTGATTAGAAATTATTTCTGCAATTGCTTTGGTGCGCGTCACGCGATCGCTTTGGACGTGCGTGGCCGGCACGCGGCTTTTCGCTTCGTCCTGCTGACCCAGGTCAGAGGTCAGCGATAAAGCGCGTCTAGCATTCGCAAATCCTGGATTAAAGTGTATAGCAATGGAGCAATGCAGCAATACAATTGTAATAGTGGCCTTTAAACGCGTAGCAGTCATGCGCCGTAGCAGAAATGTTATCCTTCTAAGCGAAGGATAATAGGTATTAATGTATAAATTCGTGTGTGCAGTGATTTGATCGATGAAAAAATGCTGCGTGAGGGGTAACAGGACTTGATGTTTTGATTACGGTGTCAGCAAAGCCCTTTCTCTGAACATCTGCATGCAAGTCAGCAAACATTTTGTAAAGGGGTCTGCTTTTGAAATAGGCTAAAAGAGAGGCACTCCGGTAATTATTTGTCGCTCTTGACCACCAGGTTTCCGCTCGTTTCCGTATCATTAAGTGCCGGGGAGTTTCCCGGCGTCAGTGCACGCCAACACGTAAGACACGGAATGCGAGCGCTCTAATCACGTCACGCTATGGGACGATCCTCTTAAAATTTGTGGGTCGGTGATCGTGCTGTTTCCCCAAAGGATAACTCATTGTCGGGCTGGCGGGCAACAGGGCGGGCAAATTCCTCCTGAATGGACGGCATGCAGAACGGGTCATCGGCTACGGCTCGCCACTTGCAACGGTTTTAAACTGTCTTAGGAAACGAGGAGGCGATTGCGCTTGTTGCATAAGCGCAAAACAATTGGCGCAGCCCTCCGCAACGTCCTTCGCGACACGCGCGGCGCTCAAGAGGGTGTTGTGTTAAAATCCATTACCAAAAATACAAGCTTACTTGGGCATTGCAAGCATGATTATTACGCGCGATACTGCCTACGTCCGCCAAGGACTGTCCGGGAGAAATCGTTTTGCTACATTGTACGGATAATTAGAATATTATAGGAATGGCCCATTTATCTACAGTGTGATATGCATATGATCTTGTTGAGTCAACACACGAGTGCGCGTCAGGCGCAGTTGACATTGTGCTCTGCGCGGCGAACAGACGCAAAACCAGACGAAATAGCAGCCCTCAGGCCGCTTGCTAGCTAGCCATCTAATGTCTCCATCTATATGCCAAGGTTTCGCACAAGTTCCCGCGCGGGTTCTTCTTTTTGTGGGGGTTCAACCGAGCAGTGAAACGCGACAGCGGGCGGCTGACGCTCCATTCTACCAACGCGACGCGCGCGCTTACACTTTTGACGTGACTGCAAGGTCGATTAAAAGCTGTAATTGGTGGCAAGCTTACCCGTGGGAAGCCTGTGCGGCGTTGTACGCGGGCGATGGCATAAACGATTTTATAAGTACAAGTTACAAGTTCCGCACAAGCACTTGTGCGGGAGTGTCCGTAAAAGCCGGGGAGCCCATGGACGGTAAATCGTTGTCAGTGCGGATACGTGGACCATCATCGTCCTCCTTCGTCCGCTTATAATAAAATAATAAAACAACCACACACAATAAAACAACGAGATGTCTGGAAATGTCTAGATGTCGAGATGTCCGGCACGCACCCATCCAGTGCTTAACGGGGGTTATTAAGAGTCATACTCCTGCTAGTGCCGTAGAGGATGTCGCAAATTACATGATTCAGACGGGATTTGAAGTTGGGATCCCAACCAATCAGGTTCCCCCGGGGTGTAGCGCTCTCTCGCGAGAGAGCGCTACACGACGCCACGATCGTGGCGTCGCAGGACCTAATATGCCTTGCTACTATATTGCAAGTTTAATCTTTGCTCTTTTTTGCAACGCCAGGCCTTCTGGGCTTCTTCAACGTCGCTGTCCGCCTAGAAAAAATCGCCTCGTGGCGCAGTTTCCATTTCCTTTGTGTCGAACATTGAAAGGAGTCTGCATCAGTCCAACCAACATATCAGTTCCCTACCTATTGATACATTCCTTATGGTCTGCTGTGGTCATGTATGGTAATGGAATTCATGAGGCTACAGCAGGCGGGCACGGACCGACCAAGCGCTATATGTGCTACACAGTGCTACTGTCTAACTGAAGCGGCTAGACGTGCTAACTGGGAAATCATGCTGATCAGAGTAGCTGGGCCTTTATCAGGGGTTCCGGAAATGGCAGCGTATACAGTGCGTCGCCCAACGGCCATTCAGGAATCCTGACAGTCAGACATGATATATGAACCTTTTTGGGCGGGGCCCCCAAAAAATGCATAATCTGTATATGAAATCGTGGCATGAAGAAATCCACTAAAAGCGGAATCACAGTCCTTAAAATCAATGCATATGTTCCATGCGCGAAGTACATATCTATTGCCAGTCAGGCAAAAGACTTCATTGCTCAGACCATTCCTGGCAGGTCGGAATAAGCATGCTGGAAGTGATATCGGCCATGGGCGGTATGTAGCCCGGTATTTAAAATCTGCGGGCTCCTGACCCAAGACAGACTGGGCGGAAGCACCGAGTCCTGCTTCGCTACAGCTTCCATATCGCAGCAAGAGGGTATTCGGCGTAAACCTGTCTTCATGCTTACATGGCGACACCTGGGTGCCTCCTCTGCATAGTCACCTTCGGCAACGCGAACCAAGCCCATGCCGACAAGCCGCTACGTTGGTATTCGCGGTGCCCACGCACCACATCCATGTTAGGGCCCCACGTCCATGTAACAAATCCGAATGTACTAAACCCAGCTTTAAGTTGAACTGAGGGCACCAGCAAGGCCATCATGCCCCCAGCCAATCCACAACCCCGCGTTAGATCAAAATCCAAATCCACCGAAACCAGCCCCATCCCCCAACCACCATCTAATCCCCGCGACGCCGCCCTGGCTTTGTGTCTCTAGCATCATCTCCGAAGCAAGCCGGGCGACGACAGTAAGGCCTCCATATCCCACTACACGCGCTTGCAAGCACACACTAAGGATAACGAGCACCCCCACACGCACCCACTTATTTCCCACGGATCGCTGTTACGTGTCGTCATGGTACTCATGCATGCGCTGCGCTGCCTTGCGCTGTGTCCGTATGAACACATACCCCCGCAAATGCGGCCGATCTATCCCAGCAATGGTCTCAACAAGGGATGCACTTCGACAGCCAGCCTTTGTCAAAGGCACGCCGCCGCAGGCAGACGGGACGTGCACGCAAGCGGCGGTTCCGCGCTCCCTTTTCACTACGGCAACCCTCATGCAACGCCGCGCAGGACGACAGCACGAGAGGACTGCGCACAGAGATCAAGCCAGGGGCGACCAGGCAGATGGGTCAGTCGACACATATCCTGCACCTCCTCCGGAACTGGCCCCAAGCCAGCGCAGCATCTTAAGCAACTCCCAAATTTTTCCAGGCCGAGCCCTTAGGCCGTCATTGAGAGTGCGGATGCCCAGGTCATACGGCAACACAGCTTCCCCTGTCTCACACGCTAAGGCAAGGTTGGTACGCACCTAGGCGGTTGGTCCCCGCCGTCTCCAGCAGCCCGTCTCGTCTGCACCTGTTCGCCAAGTCGTGAGCAAGCCATCTTCGTGTCGTGTACAGTGCCAAAGCAGGCCATGGGCCACCTTGTCAATCCGTCTGTCGGTCGATCACACGTCTGTGTTGCATCTCCGTTTGTTCTACATGTCCTGAACCATGTGCACTCCTTAATCGCTTCAAATCGGACGCATTGCAGCGAGCAGACCTCCAGTTCGTCTCGTCTGAACTAATAAACCTCGTGCCATAAGCGCCCCGATCCCGGGGCCTTGCTTGCATTCAGCTGCTATTGTTACGGAGCAGTAGCAGCAGCAGCAGCAGCAGCAGCCGAGTCAAGCGCAGCAGAAGCACGCACATGAAAGTAGAAGCAAATCTACAGCCCGCCTCCACGCACCCATGCAATCATCCCCTAACTCACTAACAGGAGGGGATCATCCATCTTACGGGACGGCCGGGGCAGGATCAGCCTCATCCGGTGGCAGCGCTTAGAAGCAGCAGCAGCAGCATGCGCCGCAGCTGTATGGGCCCTTATCCTCCTCTGCCCTAGAGACTGTGCACAGTGGAGCACGACCAGCCCTGTCGCCCATTTGCGTCCCTTCCCTCGCCTCTACTGCCAACAGCTCTACCACATGATTGCAGAAAAAACTCAGCGCTCTGCTTTCCAGGAACCTCAAAGCCCAAAGACGCCATCACGTCTTGGGGCCTGCGCCCATTCTGACCTTCATCTGCCCAACATGCCGGTGAAGAAGGAAATCCGTCCGCCCATGCACAGGCCTTTCTGAAGTTACCGTCCTAATGATCCCGCGCCAGCCGGCCTCACAATCGCAAGACCTCGCCTAACAACCCGTCGCCACCCAAACAGCGCTCGCATTGCAGCAGCCGCACAGCACACACCCTGCCAGCCAACCAATACGTTGCGTTACCAATCCGCACCTAGCCACACGCGCACCACACGGGCAACTTGACCGACACACGCACATGAAATCCTTACATCTCAAGACGGTCCAAGTTTGCCACATCAGTCACCATCTTACATAACAAAAAGTGGCTCCGCAACATACGCCGACACTGGGGAAAGAAGGACCGCTGCGCTACCCCCAATTCCCTGATTACCCCCGCGCCCATGCTCACTACCACTACAGCTATTACCATGTCCCCTTGAGCTCAGTACCTAGCGCCCTACATGAGCAGCACGGTCAACAATTGCCGTGGCTGTTCAAGGCCATCCTGCCATTCCCCCTAACCCCATCGTCTGCGCCATCGGCTTCACGCCGCTCCCCAACTAAAGCAGCCGATCCATCCGAACCGACAAGACCTTTCCCTACATTCTATTCGATTCCGCCCCCGTCGCCGCCGCCGTCGCCGCGCCCACCCCGGGGCTTTCATTGCCCCCCGTTGTCCCCGGCCGCTGCCGCCGCCCGCGCTGCCGCCCCGTGTCCCGTCAGCGACTGCAACGTGACCCCGGGTGCTGCCTTGGCGATTTGCCTCCACGTGTAGTCCCACAGGTCGGTGCCGTCCTGGTCCTTCCAGCCCTCTACCAGGATTTTCTACCGGGAGGGCACATCACGCAGGTGAAGAGAGGAACACATGTTATTTGTTACATGTTTCGGAGGGTTTAAATGTAACGAAGTGTTGGCAAAGTGGGTTGGGGCATTGCATGCAGGACTGCACGCCGCGTTGCAGGAAGCCGGCTCGGGGTGGGGAAGACAGGGGCAATGGTACCCGGGGCCCGGGGTTGATGTAAAACAGACGCGTGGAACTTGCTGCAGCGATGTGTCGCCTCATAAGCGCAAATAGGACGGAGGGGTTTAGTAGAGGGCGGTTGGTCCACACACACACACACGCACATACATCCCCCAAAGGAAAAATGCAGCCTAGCGCCCTCCACCTTCCCATCCTCCTCACATTACTGTGCATCACGAGCAGCATATTCTTGGCAGCCTCAGGTAGCGCCTCCGCCAGCACCTCGCCGTTCATGCGGTTGTTTGCTGCGGCCGCAACCGCCATCACATCCAAGATACCCCGCCACACGCGACCGAACGTTGGGAGGCTTGACAACTGAGGAGGAGTGGAAGATAGAGGATGGTCCCCGGGGTTCAGGGCCAGGCCAGGATTAGCGTTAAGACCCGGGGCGGGTAGGGCCAGGGCGCAGCAGGCAGAAGGGGAGATAACCGTAACATGTAACAGGAAGGCCGCAAGGCGAACCACTGACAACTGGAGCAGACAGCAGAGGTAGACGGGTACTCCAGGATTTAAGACAGATACTGCATCAGAAATATATACAGGGCGCAAGGGGGGACCAAGGAAAGGGGAAAAGGGTAGATGGGAGCACGCCTACACCGGACTCGAAGAGCAAACCAGCCACTACCCCTACTCGGCAGAGACGGGTTGCGCTGGAAAAAGGGCTATTGAGTCACGGGGGAGCGCTTTCCAAGCCCTCCTCGCGATTGCGGAGTGCCCAAAGCTGAAAAAGGGAAAACGAAACCGAGGCCCAGACCTGCCCGCCTAACGCCGATATGCTCCTCACGTCATACCCCCATAACCCCGTAGACGGTTACGTCCAATCTCTTTCGCATGCACCGACCTGCGCATGGAACAGCAGCACCATCTTGGAGAGCGCGCGTACCAGCTCACGCACAGTCACATCGCACTGCGAACACGAGGCGAGGAGCAGGAAGGATGAAGACATGTTATAACCAGCTCAAGAAATTCGGCGGGTTAGCTTCTCAAGGTCCCCAATAGCAGACAGATAGAGTCGACAAAGTTCTTAGGGAAGAGGGGCCGAAAGGCAGGGGAGGACGAGGCTGAAAGCGGGGAAGGAAGAGGCCGAAAGGCAGGGGGGAAAGAGGTTAAAAGGCAGGAGGGCCCCCCGCCTGTCGTTCCCTTCAGCGGCGCTTTCGCAACCGTCCGCATGAGCCCATAGCATGCGAAACGTACCGCGGCACGTCCTCGTAACTTTGGCAGTTCCTGGTCCATGCGCACGGCGGACGGGATGGATGCAATAATAATCATGCGAAGTGCTTATCCATACAGACGGTACCAACGTACTGCCGCATCCCGGTACCGCACCTGCGGCATGCTCCTGGCCGCCGAGGACCCCAGCATCTTGACCAAGTCCTGGCCCAGCGGCAGCAGCAGCTCCTGCAGCGCGCGCGTGAGGCCCTCCGCGGGGATGGCCAGCTTCTCCGCCGACACCACGGCACGCTGGAGACATTGCAGGGTACCGCTACGGACCTGGCAGGAAGCGAGGAGGAGGTAGGGACCAAAGGGAGGAAAGCAGAGGGACAGGCGGGAAGCGGTCAGGGGCGCTTTGCATGGGGAAAACGAAACGGGCGAGGGGCAGAAAGTTACGGACATGGCCGGAAGGCCATCACTGAAAAAACATGGAGGAAGAGAGAGGGGGAGACACTGGGTGGGAGGGATAGGCCTGCTAGCGGTGGGAAGGGTGGTAGCTGCGCCATGACGGGATTCCGCCATTCCTCCGTCACTCTCGCCCATCCACTCCCGCACACCTATCCTCCCCACCTCTACATTGTGGTTCTTCGCCAGGCGGCACAACCAGCCTAAGAGCAAGTGCCACGAGTCCAGCTTGAAGGCGGTGAAGCCCAGTCCCTCGAGCGCCTCCGGGGAGTGCTTGGCTTGAGAGGAAATCCACCACAGCTCCAACCATTCCTCTGTGCAGGACAGGCCATGATGGAACGAAAGGCAACGCCGTAATGCGCGGTGCGGCCCAGGCAAGAGAAATGCTGCATGTGTGTGTATGTGCAGGGGGGATATCAACGGATGCATTGGGCTTGGGTGGCATCTGATTTAACTACTACCTGACATTCACGCCCAGGCGCTGGAGCTGGAGCTTTGGGGACAGAAAAAAAAGCAGAAAAGATGTGCACGTGCGGGCAGACGCAGGAACCCCATTTAGGGTGCGTCAGAGCAGGCCCAGTCAGTGACGCGGGGGAGCACAGGCACGGGCAACAATAATCACAGAGAAAGTCGCAACTCCTGACGAAGTAAGAATGGCATGGTATGGCGTCGTTAGGCTCCCCCGGCGCCCGGCAAGACGACCACAACCAACACCAACATACCATCATCAATACAACACCAAAATTAATGCCGATAAGAAGGCAAGCCCAAGAAGTATAAAGCAACCACGGCACGCGAGGCATCCCTCCTTCGATCCATCTATAGCCGCAGGGCCTACATTCCGATAAAGGTGCTCTGTCAGCCTGACACTCGGTTCCCCCAGCACCCACCTACGGACGTAACGTGACACCACCTCCCCCACCGCCAGCACGCACCTACAGACGTGACGACCCGGATGGCTTGGCCAATGTGCGCTGGGTGGCCCTTCCACTCCCCGCTGCGCGGGTCGGCCACTGCCCTCTCCAACAAGTCCACCGCCGTGGGCACCACCGCCGTGAAGTTGATCATGGACAGCGTCTCATTGCAAACCCTAGGGGGCCAGCAGGAGACGGAGGAACCGGGAAGAATGGTTATGCATGAGGGGGAGGAGGAAAGTAGCAGGGAGCAGGAAACTGGTCAGGAATCGATTCGGTCCCACAACGATAAGGTGCTCTGGCGTCAACTTGTCCCTCCTTTTCCCCTGTTCCGGACTCTGCCTTGAAAGGTCTGCTAACATTAGCCAGCCAGGGTGGCCCCCTAGGCACCCCGCAAGCTGCCACCGAGCTGCTGGCATGCCGCCACCAACTCACCGCCCGCCAACCCCCCAACCCACCACCTGCCCACCATGTGATTGTGTCCAGGCACACCGGAAAGGAGGGTGGGTCCAAGTGGATGACCTTGATCAGCGTGCAGATGCTCATCCAGGCCTGAGTGCTCGTCAGGTAGGCGGCAGCGCCCTGGCAGGGGATTCGAAGACGGAGGGGCAAAGGTGGTGAAAAGGGGTGGACGAAGGCAGGTGACGATGAAGAAAACATGACGAACAGTAGCACCCGATTCCGGCTCGGAACATGAATTTGACTCGCACCCCTACCACTTATAATACCCCCCACCCATTCAGCTACCCAACCACCCAACCACCGCACAGGACCCGATCGCACGCCGCACCTGCAACAGTGATTGGATCTCCGAGGCAATGGTGGACGCCAGGTCGTTAGCCACCTGCAGAATGGCGGATGCGGGTTTCATGTCACGGCTTGGCTTTCAGGGAAGTAATAAAGCCTCAGCGAAAAGTGGGATGAGCACGTAGTAAGCGGACAGAATGGGCAGGGTATCAGTTCAGAGGTCAATAAGACGCGCGGGATAGACGTGGTTATGGAGAGTTGGACAGCACAAACGACGTAATCCATGCCGCGTCCATTTAAGCCTCGAGCATGGCGCCATCGTCCCAAAGCTAGTGCTGTTATATTATATCCTGTCCTAACTATATCAGCATAATGTCTTCAAGCATATGAGGAGATGTACCCCACCTGCTCATCGACCAGCGACAGCAGCTGTATGCCCCGCATGAGCGGCTCGCTAATATCCGCCGCCTTGTACGGCAGCAGGCGCTGGCAAAGCCGCAGCATGGCCATGATGGCCTTCTGCACAAGCACCGGCTCGCACTCGCGAGAGTGGCTCAAGATGGTCTGCCCGTGGTGAAAATGTGGTGTAGAAAGGAGGGTTGTGAGGGAGTGGCTTAATTTATCATCCAGGGTGTGGGGCAACGTTGTGAATGATGCGGTTCGGACTGGATGGGGTCCATGTGCTAAAAGGTACCAGAGCAAGGCAAGGCCGGACAGACAGCTCAGCCGTCCAACAACTGCGCCGAAGAAAACACAAATCGACGTACCATCAGAAGAGGAGGAGGACAAAACGGAGGAGATGGGCGACGTGGGGGAACGCAACACAAGGCTTGGGAGAGCCACGCTGCAGAGTACGAACGGGATGAAGGAGCAGGAGACGGACCATAGATGTGCGAGAGCCTGCAATCCCGACACCCCCGCGACACTCCCGGGCCCCACCACCCCGAAAGCCCCCCCCGTTCGGTATAGGTGGGGTACATAACTATGTTACTGCGAACGATTCACTCCACCGTACGCATCACGATATATCACCCTGACCCACCTGGAAATGTTCATAGGCGCGCGGCCACAGCAGCGTGATCCGGTCCCGGTTCCGGAGCAAGACCGTGTAGAGCAGCTCCAGACACACCTCCGACACGTCCCAGGGATAGCTGCCCAAAGAAGAGTTGGAGCGTGGGATAGGCCCAGAGCTGGAGCAGATGGCGCGAACCAGCTGCACCAGAGACTCTAAACAGGAAGACGCAAGCGCAAAGAAGTTGGGATGGGACTTAGGGTTCAGGAAAAGACCAGCGAACACAGAGAACTCAGCATTCTAAACTGTGAACCGCTGGTTGTGCGGAGCACCAACTATTTACCGTCCACAAGGTAGTCGGCGGCTGTCGGAGGGTGCTTAACAAGGTAAGATCAGACCCGGGCAAGGGCGCCTACTGCAACCGCACATAGCCAACACCAAACCCATATACCGCATATATGCCAGCACCAAACCCACCTTGCTTCAAGAACTTGCTATCCGTAAAGGCGTCCTCCAAGCAGCATGCCGTGAGGCACTCCTCGGCCCGAGCCACGGCCGCCCGCTCCACCTCGCTAAGCTGCATATCCGCCTTGTCCATGTCCGCCCGTGCCGCGGCCACGGCAGAGCTTTGCGTGCCGTCAGCGCGTGAGGCGCGTCCGACCGACGACTCGGATTGGGGGAGGTCACTGCCCAGAGTTAAGATCTGCGTGAAGCTGCTGCCGGTAGGTGGTGTGCCCAGGAGGGTGGCGACGACGGTCGGGAAGTGAGAGGCGGTGGGAAATTGAGGACGGAAATTGCGGGCGAACTCAAAAACCCAAACCGAAGGAACCTAAATCGAAGGATTTGGGCATAAGGGCCAACGGTTCGAGCAATTTTATTAACCTGTCACTACCTCCAAAAGACTCCGCACCTCAGCCAGCACATGCGGAGGCGGGGAGGATCGGCAAGTGGTCCTTGGGCCCGTCTGGCATCGTATGGCCTCGTACGCCAGGCCCCGGCCCCACCCACCTGGATATATGCTTGAAAATGGACGATGCACCGGTGGAGTTAGAGCCCTGCCGCAACAGCAGGTGCCGCCGCACCTTGAGCGACACGCTATCCACCTCCCGAACCACCAACCCGCCATCGCCGTCCACATCACCTGAGACACAACCGAGGTGATGGGAGGGGTAACAAGCTATGCTTTAGGTATTGGAGAAGAAGAAGAAGGAGGAGAAGAAGGAAATTTGACTTCAGTGACAACAGATGGTGGCAGAGTCCCCAAACCCCAGGACCGAACCTATAGCAGTACCATAGAAAACAGACCCTTAAGTTCCCGGGGGGCCCTCCCGACCCCGACCGCCTGTCCGAGCGATCCGGCACAGGTCGCAGTGGCCACCAACAACAGCTCCTTTGGCCCTCCCCCAATACTCTCCCCTGCCGGCGCTGCCCCTACAAGGAGAGCGTCACCGTACTTTTAACCTCGTTTATTAAACCCCTAGATTGCGCAGCGTAATGAAGATCGGGTTGTCTGAGGATAACAAGCTAAAACGTATCATGCTCAGATAGCCCTTTCACAAGCTTTACATGCTCAGAGAGCCTTTTCAGCTCTCCTCCCTTTCCACTTTCCTTCGCCTTGTTCCCCGCGCCTTCCCTCGCCTACCGTTGAGTGCCTTGCAGAAGCTGTCTGGCAGCAGCATCTTGCGGTAGAGGTGCAGCACCAGGTCCAACACGTTTGCCCAGCCACCGCGAAGGCAGTCGCCGTGCCTGCACGATATCGGGGGATTCGTGCAGGTGATGTGCGCAAGGATATCCACGACCTCTCATTAAGGCAGCGCTCTGGCCCTCTGCTATGCAACCCTGCCTTCAACACCTTCTCATCCCCGTCCTAGGGCTACTAGGTGGCACCGTCATCATCACCACCAACAACAACAGCTTCAGCGTCAGCACCAAACGTAGCTACGTTCTAAACTCCTCAGACATACTCGAGAAGCGCAATCTCACTTGTTGATCACGATAGCTAGGGTGCTCGTCACCGCCCGTATCTTGTAGTCACGGCCAAACATGACATCCGCGCGGGACAATGTGGGCACCTGAAAACCGGAATCGGTAGGAGGGAGGATTATGTGAATGGGTTAACGGGTTAGTGGCTGGCGATTGAGATGGGGGTTTGGAAGCATGCATGATGGAAAGGGGTTGGGAGATTGGACGCAGGTGAAGGACATGTCCCTTCCCAAACCACCATCATCACCACGCGCCTTCCCACCCAAATCCGCCCCTTGTGCCTATGTCAATCAATGTGTTCACTACCCCACTGAGCCGCCCTGCAGGCCTATCCTTAGCACAGCCGAACACACAGTCCAAACTGGACCAAGCCGGGCCAGCACCCAGCGACACCAGTCCGCAAGCCACCCCCCGTGCATTCCCATGCCTTCTCTCTTCTTTCCCCCTACTCACCGCTGCCAGATGCTGCAAGGGAATCTTGGACAGGTTGACAATAATCGAGTCTGCCACATCCTCTAACTCGTGCGCTGCCGCGATTTGGCAGGCCATCTGGAGTGCAGGACCAGCAAGGAAAGCGAGGAAAGGAAGGATAAATTAATTACGATGGAAAGGGGCTGGGGAAAGGCAACAACACACGCACCTGTAACCCCTCCAGTGCCGACGATACGAGCGACTCATTCGAGCAGTTATCCACAATGGCGCACATGGCGTGTACGGCGGGGCCCCAGATAAGCCGAAACATTGTGGTGTCGAACAGATGCCGGCCTGTAAAGGTACCCGGGACCCCCACAACGACGCGGCGGAGGGAGAAAAAAAGGGCATTGCGACACATCATGTTAACGAGGGGTGTATGTGTGATATGGGGTGAAGGAGAGGTTAATGTGGGAGCTTCAAGTGACCTAGCGCGTGACCAAGAACGCAAACCTTCCTCCCTCTTCATCAATTCCCTTTCTAAGGATCCCCTATCCGCCTCCCTCTCCTGTCCTCCTTTCCTTTCAATCTCTGTTCCTTGGAGATTTTGACGGTTCTCTCTGCGGCTTTTATATGTGCCCAAGTGTGGAATGCTTGTCTTCCATGCAGATAAAAGCCCTTCGGCGAAGGTGCCGCGTTGGGGTGCATGACAACTCCTTCGGAATCCTAGTCGCCGTGAAAGAGATTGTGCGTTGCGTTACGTTGTTTTACATTACGGATCACGGCGCTAACATGTAGCGTGTCAAAGAGTGAGCCGTTAAGAGGCAGGCCGGAAGGCGGATGTCTGCCTCATTGGACGGGTCAAATGCATTGTAAATGTGGACCATTGACATCCATTTACATTTTGGTCGAGGTCCAGGTCCGTACGGGTGCTATCCTATGGCGCTGAGATTCGGGTCCAAGCGCCACCCTAGCCACCCTGAAGTGCAGGACAGATGCACTCGATGGCACTATGAAAGACCCAATGGTCACTCCAGATGCAGCTCCTACGGCGGCTCGCAGGGTCCACATCGCCAACACTAAAGGGTTACACGGTGCAAAATCCGCACAAGTGCGGGGACGTCCGCAAAAGCCGGGAGGGGGCCCATAGACGACTTCCAGGCTGATTTCGGCCGACAACCAATAACCTGTTTCCAGGTCGAGCGCGTTGGTGCGCTTCCTGGAATCCAAAACTTATTCGTGAATAGGAAGGGGAACGGCTAGGAGATTTCTATGATACTTTTCTGACGAGTGACCTTGAGCATGCGGTCAGAATTCTTCGTACCGGCATCGAAGGTCTTCGAGTGGCCAGACTTAAGGATGAGTGTGTTTCGCTATCACCAAGCAGCGGGCCGTTTAATTGTCTCGGGCCGTTTAATTGTCTTCTCATAATTTGGACGCAAGTGGCAAATTAAGCATTTACGTAGCATCGTCCAAGGAAGCTGCGTTTTCCCCACTGGCCGGGAGACCATACCCGGTGTCGCTACGTGGTGCTACAAGCACTGGATGGGTTTCCCCGCGCAAATCGTCCAAAGGTTTTCGTCCTTCGGAAATGCACATCACGTTCATGCGCTTTCAATGTGTTGCTGTTCCTTAGCCGTTAGCTGCCCCACATAACCATATCTCCTGACACGAGGGTCTGCGCGAAATGTGAATTTTGTATGATGGAGGACCAGCTGCGCACGCTGAAATCCGTACACAATAAGGGCATCGCTCTGAGATGCGTGACGACATGCTGCACGCGATGGAGAAACGCTAACCACAATAACTTAGCATGGAAGCTAAGTTAACTTCCATGCTGATATCTGGTCGAAGTGCCCCCACTTGGGATTAAGTGCTTACCCTTTCCTTCATAAGTGTATTTTTTTCTCGTCCTATCTCTTTTCGTTTCAACTTGAACTCGTTCAGCCTAGCATGGCCAGGTTTGCGCTCCCTTGGGATATGTACGCGATGTCACAATTACCAACATCGTATTTCAACCGCCTCTTCTTGAGTTGCGACATCACCTCACCCTCCTCCGACGGCACCACCAGCCCCCGCTGAGTGCCGCTAATCTGCGCCAGCTGGTAAAAGCACTGCTCGCTGATGTCCATAGAAGCAGGCTCCGACAGCCGCAACGGCGTCTTGACGATTGAGGTGAAGATCTCCTGCAGAGCGTGAGACAAACAGAGGGGAGCAACAGGGCAAAACGGTTGCAAGCAGAGCATCGCTAGCAGGCACGGGGTTGGGGAGGGGTAAGGAGAAGGCAAGCGGGCCCTGATTACATCCGAACACGAAACGCAGAAGCCCCCTAATTTCTGGGAGGCTGCATAAGTAATGGTCTAATGAAGCCCAAGTAGAGGCCCGCTGAGGAGGGCGGGGCGGGGAGATTAGTTAACGGGAAGAACGAAACAGCCGAACGAACAGCCAAAATAAGCCACAACAGCAGCACGGTAGTAGTTCGCTCCCGGGAAAGGGAGCCTGTAACAATACCACCACATGGTTCACCTTGACACCCAAAGAACAACACCATTCTCTTAATTCCATCCAGCCGTTCGGAGAAGCGGCGCGCTGAGAAAAGAACCGACTGACAGGCATGAGAAGTGAAGGTAGATGCAGTCAGACGGATCGACACGACATGCACATCGCAACTACGTGGCTCACAGGAAATGCATGTGACCCAAATGGCGCAACCCATCTAGTTGACTGGAAATTGCATGGTCAATTATATAGTGGCTGAAGGCTTGGCACTCAGAGTGCACGATGTGGCAGGGAAGCGCGCTACAAGTCAGGAAAGGGAATGGGGCCATGGTGCACGGCAAAGACGAGGAGCGAAGGGGCTGCAAGTAAGGAACTGCTGCCTCCCGGCGCAGTGGCCGCCTACCTCCAAAAAAACCCCGTCAAAGTCCGTCCCGGCGTTGACGCCACGCAGGTTGCGTTTGAACGACTCGAGCGTCATCTTGTTCTTGACCTGGGGGTGGTTTGAAGGCAGAGTTGTGGACAGGGGCTTGAAGTTGAGCTTGGGATTGGTACCGGCAAAACCGGAGCCATTAAAGGCAAGAGCTTGAGAACAGGCCGTAGCTATATCCAGCTCTTGCCCTATCCTCTCCTTGTACGTCTAGCTTCGCCATCCGGGCCCGCCTCTCACCTTTGATATGTACTTCCTGTGGCCCTCTGCCACCTGGGCATCCATCCTACACAACGCGACCTAGCCTTCCTAGCCCCGGTTCCTCCCACACGCCTGACAACTCTCCCCTCCTGAAGTTCTTCGACCTTAACGTTGGCGCACCTGGTTGTTGTGCTGGTCCGTGTTGAGCATGATGACCGAGTACGCGAGCACGTACGCAGCATCACCTTCGCGGAACACGTCCTCGTTGCTGGCGTAGTAGTGGCGACCGAAGGCGTTGATGATGCGGTCAATCTTCTGGGCCTCGCCTGCAGGGCAGCGGCAGGGACACATGAACAACATGCAAGAAACGCTACCATTGCCGCTTACTTGCAGCAGCAAGTAAGTGCGTGTGAGTTTGTGCGTGTGTGTGTGTGTGTGTGTGTGTTGCACCTTAAGTTGCGTTACCCCTGAAAGATGTAAAAGACTCCATACAAGCCGGAAAGGATTCGAAAGAGCAACAGCGGTAGCTAGGCTCCCACAAGGACACGAAACCACCACCTACGAAACGAAACTGGTAATACACGCGTGGATGTCGACGGCCCGTCCTGTCCGAGGAGGAGCGAGCACCCAACACCGCAGTTCCACTCGGCCAGGCCGCCCACCCACACCGCCAGCCACCCACCCGGCAGTCTGAAGCTCTCCAGGAACATTCGCAACGCTGAGTCGAACTTTAGGTGCGCGAAGTCAAATCCGATGGTGTAGGACTCAAGGACCTGCAGCAATATGTGCCCAAGGGGCGGAGGGCAGAGGTAACTGTAAAGATATACCTTACGCAGAGGGCGGAAATCCAGCGCAGGAAATCCCAACAGGGAAGGGGCATCCCTGCTGAAACCCGCTGAAACAAAGTCCCGCAGCGGTAGCCTCAGCCCCCTGCCCACGGCCGGCACTCGCCTGCAGGTAAAACGGGTCGGGGTCTCCCAGCAGCTCCCCAATGGTGGTCTTGTTGAGGCCTGGGCAGGTGCGCAGGAACTGGCCCAGCCGCGTGGCCAGCACTTTGCGCGCCTCAACCTTGGCTTCCTCGCTGTCACCGGCGGGTGGGTTCTCGGGCAGCAGCCGGGCGGTCTGCATGGCGGCAAAGCCCTTCTTGAAGTCTTTGTTAAAATGGTCCACGGCGAGGCCTGGGCATGAGAGAGGACGGGGAAGCGGACAGGGAAGGTAAGACCAAGCCCAACGCTTTGAGGTGGCAAGGAAGAGGAGTACATACAGGGTGAGATGCAAGGGGCAGAGGGAGAAGGCGAGGATAGGGAGGAGGATTGTAGACAAGATACCTCGTGATGAAAGGTGGTCCCAAAAAGTAGGGACGCCAACCCTAGGCGCTCTGTGTGCTAAGACGGCGTGGTAGTAGCTTGCACAATTTTCATGAGATAAGATGACAAAACCACACAGGCGCATATGAAGCCAATTACACGTTTTTTTCGGCCCCCCTCCCTCCCTGTCCGGGTCCACCACACCCCACACGCCATAAACATCCTTGTCAAGCAATCCATGACCCTCTTCCGCCGTCAAGCCAATCAGCCGTTTTCCAGACGCATAGCAAGTTCACCAAACCATAACCACAACAAGCGATCCTTTACGCCAACCGCCCACGCACATCCACACACTGTCATCTGTACTGCCCCAGGAATTCCCTTATGCTCCCAGCCACGCCACTCCATGTACCATGCGCGGCTCCGCTACCATCTCACAAATCATATCACGATCCATCTCAATGTTTTCTGCCCGAACCCGGACTTTAATTAACGCCATGCGGCATAATAACCCATGGCTTCTGATGAAACCCAAATGCCTACCCGCGGCGTTCTCACGACCCCCGGGCTCCACACACTCATCCCAGCCCCGTGATACTAAACCTTGCCGTCCTCATCCCTTTCCCCGGCGGTTCCCCCAAGTCTCACCTATCCGTGCTTTGAGGCAGCGCTCCGCCATGGCGCACCGTAGCTGCAAGGGCCCCGTCACCGGCACCCCGCGGACACCCGCGCCCGAGCCGGGTGGGAGGCCGCTGCTGGTAGCCCGCTGCGGAGGGACGCGGAGGGGGCCGGCACACAAGCAAACAGGTCAGCAACAACACACAACACGAAAAGGCAGCGGTGAGAGGCAGGAGTCTGCAGGCCGGAGAGCTGGGCAAAAAGGAGGGATCATCCAAAAACGGCAATGACATAAACGGCATATGAAGGGAACGGAGTCAGCCAGGCGGGTGGGAATCCCGCCGTAGGCGGGGGCCAGAATGAGGAAACCAGGCCACAGCCCGCTGGCGTGGTCGCAAAGGAGGTGCAAACGGCTTCTTTGCTCTCAGGCTTACAAGCTTGGTAACAACAACAACAGCAACAACAACAGCAACCGGTCAGCTCCGGTGCTCCCTCTCTTCTTTCTCCCACCTCAGTTGAGGACGTCCATCGCTTCAAGCTGCCCAGGAATAACGCCGACGGCCAAGGGGCCCTTCCGCCGCGGGTCGAGTTTTGGTCAAATATTTTACGATATGACAAGCGGCGGAAGGACCCTTGGCCCGCCGGTCCCCTATTTACGAGATCCCATCTCCCATATCATCCCTCCCTTATTTACACATCAACCCCTTCACTCCCCTGCTCCCCAGGAGCACCCTGCACCCTGCTCCTCTTAACTCTTACCTGCGGGCCTTGAGACCCAGCCGGCGACGACGATGACGCCTCCGACCCCGCCGACCGCAAGGCCGCCGACGCCTCCGCTGCCGCAGCCTCCGCTGCGCTCAGCACGCCACCACCCGCCGCTGCCGCCGCTGCGGACTCCGGAGGCGGCAATGCCGGCCCTGGCGTCGCCGCGGACGACTGCCGCGACACGCCTAGCTGCGTCCCGTGGTGCCCATGACCGTGGTGCAGGTGGTGATGGTGGTGGGTGTAAGGGTGCGGTGCCAGCAAGACATCCGCCAAGAGGGAAAAGTCCGGGTGCTGCCCAGCAACCAGCGGACCCCACAGATCAACATAGAAGGGCAGCTCGCTGGCGGCGGCGGGCGCGGCCAGCAGCTCCTGTCCGTTGCGAGCACTGAGTGTGAGGCGGCGGGGTTGGAGTAGCACGGCTCTTAGTGTATGTTTTGGGGGTTCCGTGGTAAAATTTGGACATGGCATGGGGATTGAAGGACGGCTAAGATAAATTCGGCGATTGTGTGCCTACACTCATGGTATCGGGCCAACTGACGCGCGTCCACGTGCGGCCAGGTGTATGCTGCGTGCATGCACAAGGCAGACAATGGTGCAGCGGCAACGGTTCAATGTGCTCCTCCTCCTAATGCCGCGCTTTGCCCTGGCTACGGCATTTACCACGAGGGGCCTTGCCATTATCGTGGTACGCACGCTCCGTGCGTCTCTGTTCCCTTCGTGCCTGTTTAGCCCAATCCTGCCCAAGCCAATGATCCATACCGCGTTCAGCATCTTGAGTTCCACTGCCAACTTGCCCAGACGATTACCGAGCAACCCCCTCGCCCACTCACCTCTGCGCAAGAGCCCCTAGTACCGCCAACAGCGCCTCCAGACTGATGAAGTTGAGTGGCCCAACGCTTGTTTTGGAAACCGGGAAGGCCGTCTTTGAGATCAGCGAACAGACCTGCGGTCGCCGAAACGGCCGAGTTAGAAGGGAAAACATCAGGACATGAACAATTGAGGTTGGGGGAAAGTAAATCCTGACTTTTGCGCAGCAAGGGAAGGGAAGGACAGTGAACACGCCGCTGGCGGCGAGAAAGTTTAGCTGCGAAGACGGCCGATCGGCAGGCGGTCCGGCTCTGTTTCAGCCGTGGCAGAAGCGAACAAAAATGGCAATCCCAACGAATCAAGTCAGGTGTATCCTACCTCTTGAGTTTCCGAGACGCGCGCATACCTCCCCCTTAAAAACCCGCGAAAAAGATATCCTACCTCCTCGAACAGGTTTGCTCGCTCCAGGCGGCAGTCACAGTTGACAAACATATCATGTACGAAGTTGGGTTGCCGAACAAGGTCCAACAGTCCTTCCAAAGCTGCCTCCTGAGGGGTAGCAGAAACAGGAACGAAGGAGAATGGTACATTCACGATGCAAGTCAACCTTCAGTTGCAGACGCTGAGAGATCAGCCCAACGCAGTCTCCGAGATTGTACTCGTAAATGTAGCTAGCAGCGAACAACAGCAGGGAGAGAGGGACAGATGACGGCAATTATGGGCTTGGGAGAAGAACGAGACAGCGACGGCGTGAGGGGATGGAGCAATACGAGGGCAGCCTTCCGGTGTGAAAGCCGACGAACTGGTGGCGACCCCAGCGAGGAAGAAATGCAAGCCGCATCGCTCGTTCTAAGGCTAAGGCTAATACCCACATCATGGCCTGCCGCGCAGGCGAGTTTTGTCGGCTTGATGCTGCGTTCCCCACGCACCCATCATCCCCCGTGCCGCCCGCAACTAGCCGCCTGGCTCACAAAAACGGATCTTGCCAGCTTTGGCAGCCCAAATCAATCGTAGGGCCTACAATATCTCAAGGTTGCTCCGGAGCCCTGCACCCATGCCCTGCGCACCGCCCAATCAACCGCTACATCTCCTGTGTTCTCCACACAGCCCGGTATCGGATTAAAGACACACGTGCGGGGACCGCACCTGCTGCTCGAGCCCCGGCACGCCCTTGCCGTCGGCCAGCCGCAGCAGCACCCGCTGGATCACCGTCTCCAGCTGCGCCATGCTAACGTGGCCCAGGTAGGTGGACACACAAAGAAGCGTCTGGCAAAAGCCCGTGATGACAGCAATGCTAGGGTTTTGAACCTGCGGACGGTTGAAGAGGTACGACAGTCATGGGTTGGGAAACGTAACATTTTCTGAAGTGTCAACTGCCGACATCCAAAGCACCAACATGCCGAAGTCCAGGGAGGAACAGCTGCGGAGACCAGGCCCACCGAACCGCGCGCCGAGGGACAGCGCTTCATCATACCGCGGGTTTTCTGCTTCAGTCCCCTGGTGCATCTTGCACCGATACGCCCTGCTGTGACAAGGGACTCACCGTTCCTGTTATAGCGCCCGCCACCCCGCATCCCCATACCATGCCCAGGACCCCACTAGACATCCAAGGCCCCATCGAGGATCATCCCCAGTGCAAAATCTCCCACAATTCTGATCTCCAAATGACCCCGCCCCGTCCCACGCTTTTCATTCCTTCAGCTAGGCCCAATCCCTTCTTCCAACTCTCTCCTTCCCCACAGCACTCAACCTGGGCCCCTCCCGTAATGTGCAACCCGACCCTGTCCCGGCCTACCCTGTTGGCACAACCCCCCTCCGCTGCCACCGCTGCCATTCCCTCGGTAGCATCCTTCCAATACATGCCACCCACGACTGCATTACTACCATCACCATCACCGACGGCCAGCTTGAAAACCCCACGACACGGCGTCACCCAAGGAGCTACCTTGCTGTCACTACGAAACAACCCGAGTAGGAAGTGTCGTGAAAGCGACACTGTAGAGAGTGGCGCCGTGACTACCAAGCTGCCAAACTGCAGTAACGGCAATGGCAGTGCGTACTAAGCACCCCCAACTCCCAACTCCCCAGGCGACCAACACTCACCACAGCCTGGCACATGGCATGTAAGAGCTCCACCTGCACCAGCCGCGCCAGGGGCTCAGCCAGCACCAGTGCGCTACCCGCTACACAGATGATGGAATGGATAGTGTCCAGAGAAAACACCACCATTTCTTCCACCGTCTCCTTTGTGGCACCCTGCAGAGGAGGACGAATGCCCGGGCAGCGTCCGTCAAGGCAGCAGTGACGGCAGGAACGGCGTGCACGCACACACAACATGGAGGTATTCCGTGACATCGGTAACAGCAGCACAGCAGTGCATGATCGTCATCGTAATGCTAGGCGTGTGGCTGGTGTACATGATGCTTCACGAATGGCATCGGATAATTCATTTCCTCCCCTTTCCGCCCAGAACGAGTTAACCGAGCCCACAGCGCTCCGACTTCTCCTCTAGTTACCCTTACCAGTCGCTGCCCTTTTCTTCCACCGCCACGTACTACCCCGCTGTGAGCTTTGTACGGTCCATAACACTTTTTCATTACGAGGGCTTGCCTAATTCGTAAGTTTTTTTTCCTTGAACCCACTCGCCCCAGGGCCAATTTGCCCAATCCCCCACATCTCTGGAGCCGACGGACACACGGTTCGCTGCCTAGGGAGGAAGCACACACAAATTCCCTCCCTGTCCTATGCGGCGAGGGCTTCCTACCTGGAGCGATGGACCCTTATGGATGAGGTCGATAAGGAACTCCAGGATGTTCATGGCCGCCCGGACGCCGTACCGACAGGTTGGCTCCGGAACCGGTTGCTGCGGGGTGCACATCGACAGAAACCCGCATAGTGGAATGGGAACGGACATTTGCTGCTGAGGCGATGCAGGGCGGAGATAACGAGAGCCCCCACAGCCGGCCCGACCCGCCAACCCAGGGCCGTCCCGCGACCCCAACAAAGCTCCATATTGCAGCGTTTGCCGGTCGGCACGACTGCTCACAAGCCAAGCACGCCTGTCCTGCGAAAACATGTACCTGTCTCCCAAGCAGCACAGCATCGCCAAGGAAATTAACATATGGCTGAGGACGCGGTTCCCGAGCTTCTAGAGACGAGCAAAAGCCTCCCAGATGCTGGCCCTAACGACGCGATACCGAGCGGGACCCCAGGCCACTCACGTGCTCCATCTCCGCCTCTTGTGCTGCCTGCAGCTGCTCTGCCACGTTCTTAAACACAGTGCGGATCATGGCACCGCAAGTCTGACGCGAATAGTAGCCCATGATGTCTGTAGGGTGGGGAGGTGAAGGAAACGGCAACCATTGAACCTGGCGATACCCAAACATGAGGGAGACCGCAGACACCCAGATTTGCAGTGGTAAGAATGCAGGAAGGGGAGACGGACAGGCACGGCCGTCGAGAGGTACATGGCTCCGCGGAGCTATCACAAAAGTCCAGCTTCCAGCATTGAAGCCCTTACAGCCGTGCATGAACTCTAGAAGTGGAAACCTCGGGCTCTCATCCAGTAACCCGTTCACACCCCCAAGCTCGGAGTTTGGGCACCCCATCAAGCCCCCACACAATGACGGCAACTGCACTCGATGCGGTAAAACGGTCCTCGCCGTCAAACTCTAACAAGGCCGCATCCATGCCGACGCCTCAGCCGTCCGCAGGGGCTTGGCTCTGTGGCCGCGCGCCCTTCGTCCCGGTTTCCTGCCACTCCGTCCACATCAGTCCCTTGGCGGCGCTCAGGCAAAGAGCCACTGAGGTGCACTGGAGCTGCCACCCTCCAAGCTCGCGGCAGGGTGCTGCCCAAGCCGCCACCACCATTACCGCACAGACTTGAACCCAGTCGCGCAGCGCCTGCGTCCTGGCTATACTTTGATCTGTAAAGCTGCATCCAGTCTTGCTGCTGCCAGCCCCTGTCAGGCACCTCCCTGTGCCTGCGCACCTCCATACTCCTTTGGTTTCTTGACAGGGTCCCCAAGCATAAACGCGGCCTGTACCGCCTTGCATATCGACTCGTCCGTCAGATAGCGCCCCGCGGGGCTCTCCAAGGCCTGGCCGAGGACCTGCCTCGCCGAGGGTCGTTGGGAAGGACGTGTGTGGTGAGCGGACAGCATACGTGTGGCACCTTCCGTACGGCACAGTAACAGAAGCACGGGGACCCATTTGTACGCAGGCAGCGCTCCAGCGGCGTTATGAAGCAGCCCCTATGCAGGCCATATGCTCATGCCCAAGTAGACACGCGGCACTGCCAGGTTTCAGCTATTGGGGCCCCGGGGACCGCTCTGCCCGTCGTTTTGCAACCCGGAGCCGGCACACCTGGACAATGTTCAGGAGGACTATTTCGTCTGAAGAGTTGTTCGTCGACTCAAACTTGCATTGCGTCGCATCCTCGACGATTTGGTTTATCGCCGCCTCGACATTGCGGGTGCCAGGACCTGCGACCCAGCCCCAACGTCAAGGTTTACGTCGCCTCCGGAAAGGACTGCCTGAAGATAAAACACCTGCCCGCGTACCCAGTAGATCGCTGGCGAGAATCCTCTGTAGTGCAACCGCTGCTGCTCCAGTAATAGGGCCGCTCACGTCCGAGGCTTTAATTAAGTTGAGGAACGGCGATAAGTAGGTCATAGGGTTTACTTCCTTCCAGTCTGCAGACGATAGGGTGTGACGCCGATTAGAGCCCTGGGGCAGCCGGGTGTTGCGAACTCCGATCCAACAGCAGTCCTCACCGTGATGCTTAAAAATCTCCGCCCGTAGATCCCGAAAGGCATCATCATATTTGCTGGGTTCATTTCTGTCCTCCTCCTGCAGGTAGAACATGCCCGCTGTCGCGCCTGACGTTGAAACAGGGCACTAGACCGCAGAGTCAACTCACATAGTATCGCGGTACCATAGCCCATTTTGCATTATGCCGCATAGCGGTAATAACAGATGCAATTTCATGGTTGAGAAGCAAAGTTGCTGCCTGTCTGGTCGGCATCCTGAGAGGACGACCCGCTTACGGGCCCGTTAATATTCAACCCCTCTTGTAATAAGTTTGTTTCAAAAGTTGAGGCTGGCCAGCGCAAGGTCACCGTGCAGCTGCCGCGTCAAGGCAACGGACAAGTATAGACATCCTATCCTTGAGGACAGTGGGGTGTCCACTACTTGCAGTAAATAAACGAATCAATGACATGTGCAGTTTCTCTGCTATAGGTTACTGATGTTGCTGTGGAGGGTACGGAAGCATAGTGCAGTTTTCACTTTTCAGACCTGCCTCGTAAACGTAACGCGGTTACCTGTAGAGACTCGATGTTGGCATGCTGTGCAGCGATCGCTAATAGTTGAAGCATTCCCGGCGCTTTCCATTATTACACTAGAGCCGATGCGCTGATGGCCAGCCAACCAAGCCTGCCTATCTTTCGTAGCTTGCGGCTTGTGCTCAGCAACGGTGCCTCGATTACAATTCCAACGACCTTGCGGCGTGAGCAACCATATTTCCTGAAATTTGTAAGTGGCGACACGATGTCCAGCACACCACGCAGCGAACCATCGCATCCGAATTTGGCCGGGCAGTGAGTTACGTGATGAAATGCATCGTTCTTGTGGTGAATCAGGAGAGTCCACCTTTCCCCCCTCCATCGACGCCACCCCGCCACGGGCACGAAGAGCTTGCGCCCCTCTCCTCTTCCGAAGCTCCATCACTCAAAAGCATATTCCCCCACATACCCTTTTTGTGCACAATTCCCATTACGTCAGGACGTGTACAACCATAATCTCTGGCGCCACAACATAAAGGGCGAGGCCGACGCTGACCAAGCCGACCAGGCCGCACCTGACCGCACCTTGGGCTTCTACGCCAAGTACAAGCGGTCCTCCGGTCAGCAGCGCAAGCGAATGCCACAGGCGCCGACGCAGGACTCCCAGGGGCTTCAACCCAAGTAGGGAGCTTCGAGAGCAAGAATGCCCGGGACCCGGAGACGAAGCAAGGGTGCAGCTCAAGACCCATAAACCCATATATTTCGGTGGAGCACCTGCAGCATTCATTGCGCTGGAACAGCACCGGTACCAGCAGCATGACAGATCTGCCTGCTGCCGGGCGGTGGTGAGGTGCGCCGCGCGGCCCATATGTGGCGTGTAGGCCCATATTAGCTGTTCCGGCCAGCCACCTGCCACACCCGCCCATGGAGGGGTTGCTTTCGCTAGAAGGCAGGAAGCTTACAACGTTTCCTCTGGGCGGGCCAGGACAGTGCTGGGTCACGTCGGCGGTCCTCACAGGTCGCTTACCACCATATGCGCACATTTTACCTACCTTGTGCCAAGTTGTGAAACAACGCTGTGAACCAAGCAGCAAGAGAGTGGCCTGTAATCGACCCGTTCCGCTGTGTGCTTCCGCACATGGGGTTGTGCGCTGTCATGTTGTGGCATAATGGCAGTGATGCATAGAGGTTAGGTGCATGAGGGATGCCCATTTGTGCAGCAGGACAAGGACAATTTCCGCCAACAAGCCAGCTGGAATGAGCCGCGGCGCTGCAGCAGCAGTAGTAGTAGGCGACACAAGAGCCCCCCATGTCTTTTAACTATTGTTGAGCGACTGTGACGGCGGGTCTAAGCCTTGTGCGTCTGTGTTGGTTGGTAAGAAGAATATCGCATTCCGGAAATGTAGCTTATGGGAACGCGTATCATGCCGGATTTGGCCATGCAGGCGGAACCGTTGGTTCCAATCCTTGGAATCCTTGGAAGACACGTGCAAACATGCCGTCAGCCCCACACACTTCGGCAAATCCCTAAAAGACAACCCCTGCCTCAGCCATTTTTTCACCCAGATCACAACCATTGGCTTAACAAGCCAAGACATGAAAACAAGGTATCTGGGCGGGACGCACAGCTGCTAACCTTATGCCGCCAGACGACCTGCCTGCCGGCGAAAATTACAGCATTGCAGATCACACGCGACATCTTTCTCCTTGCACCGCTCCTCTCCAGTTGTGCAGAACGTCAGGATGCCTCATTATGCCTCCTACAGAGCGGCACACACGCAGGTAGGAAGAGAAGCGCAGCCAACACATGCTGGCAAACGACTTGCAGCGACAGATAGAAAAGCAGACGCACTATTAAGTACAAGGCGAGAGGCGCGTATGACATGAACAACAGCTTCCTTGAAAGGAATAGAAGAGAGAGACGCCCATACACTGCGGTGCCACCACTGCCCTGCGTCGCACCGCTAGCCTCCCGCATGCACACGATGCTTTGCCGATGCTGCTGCCCTGCAATGTGACAGCATGACAGCCCCCTTAACTACGTTGGATTTGCCAATTCCGAAGAGACTGCTGTTGCCGCTACCGCCATGGACATATAGATAGAATCCACCTCCCCAGGATGGACTCCCAAACCCACGTCACTAGCAGCTATGAAAGCTGAAAGGCAGGATGCCTGTGAACGAGGAGCGGAAGTGCAATATGCTCGCCACTCGGTGCCACTGCTGTACGACAGTCGCACAGAAGCAGACCTAGAGGCTCCCATCGCTTCGCTCCGTCGCAGCTGAGTTAGCTATTCTGTGCATTTATCTCCCTTAACCTGTAATCTCGTGGCTCTGCCGAAGCTGACCAGAAAGAACGTGCTGTGAAAGAGTGACGAAGGGGAGTGGGGACCAGCTGCCAAGGGCCTATACACTGCAGACCGAAGAGATAACCACCCACCGTGAGGCCGAGTCAGCGGGAAACTTCAAGTTTAGCAGCTGTGTCGCGCCGGGTATAGCGCTGCACCATTGCGTCTGTGCGCCACCTGCCGTGCGCCTGGTGCAGCTCGGCCGGCTCTCCGCGGTCGGCCGCCACACTGTTCCCACCGATGCACATTGAGTGCACCTTAATGTTGCGGGCGGTGCCTGCTAATGGTAACATCTTCCGTAGGCGCGTGCGGAAGGCCGCGTACAACAGGTGCATCCCGCTTGTAACGTGCATGCGCCATTACACTTCCACGAATCGTATGTTCTTGTCCAAGAGGGGGTTCAAAACAGGCTTTGAGCCTGTAAAATGTATGGCCGCTATGTTAAGTACAGTCTGCCGGACAGATGACATCTATGAGGTTCGAACTCCTGCGAACCGGTGTCTTCCGACACCACCTAATTTGGATATTGCACGTTGCACCGCTTGCCGGTCAGGGAGCCGGAGAGCTGCATCCATTGGACCGCCCGGAAGCCGAGGTCCGACGTTCTCCTCAGCTGATGAGCAGTACCCGCCTTGCGCCAACAAGCGCTCGGTCAGCCCAACAGGGCAGCAGAGACCACCAGAGCGTGCGATCACGACCCAATAACCTTGCATGCGCGGATCTGTCTTGGATCCGGGGATGAAAATCTCCCCTTGTGGGACTCGGAAAGTAGCAGCGGATCCTCGAGCACGCAGATTTCCGTGGCATCATCGAACCGGAAAAAACCGGCGAACAGGATGGCAACCGCCGCCACCATTATCGTGAGGTAGTCAAGGCGGGTCTCGGGGCCAGCCGCCAGGCGAGCCGGCGCTGCGATGTCCTCCAGCTCCAAAGCATCGCGCTGCAGCGGCACTTGCTGTGGAGCCGCTTCTCCGCCGGAGTGCGGACAATGCCGCACGCTGGATGGTCTGTGGGGGTTGCCTTCCCCGTCATGCGGTAGTAGGTGCTGATGGCTGCGCTCACGAGGTGAACGCGGCCCAGCCTTCGGCCTGGGACGTGTTGAGCAACCGTGGTTTGTGGATGCCGTCTGGTAGGCTGTGTGCCTCCTACCAGCTCCGGAACTGACCCCGCACAGGGCCGCAGTCCTTCGCTGTCCGTGGTGTCAGCGAGTCAGCGGCCTCGTGCGCCAATTGAGTGGCTGGGGCCAGGATTTGAGATCCCCTTCTGCCCCTTTCTTAAGGGAACCGAGCGGAGCGCCCGTGCAGCGCGCCCGGTTATGTCTGCGAGTGGCAAGCGACCGGGTCGGCCGGGAAACGTGGACACGGTTGGAACTTTGCATCGGCTTTTGTCAGCCCTCCCCTGTTTTTCACGGATTTTAATTTGCCGCCTTAGCTGTGATCGACAATAAGACAATTAACAGCTAGCAAGCACGTTCAACGTTCAACGTGTTGCTTTCAGAGGGCCGAGACCGCTACACCTCTACCCGCTCACAGGGCCTGAGCAGTTCCGGGACCTAAAACTACCTCCATCCTCGTTACAAAACTTCATCTCCAGCCAATGCATCTCTCGATGAAACTCTCACAAAAGGCATGGATTGCTTAATACATGAAAAAGGCATGCTATGACCAAATGCAAGACCAAATACAGCCACAGTCACCCTGCACCACCTAACTCTTGTGCAACACTCATAAACAACAGAACAAGGGCAATTGACAGTCCAGCGGGCCCCTCCCTGCTATTACGGACGTCGCCCGTACTTGTGCGGAACTTGTAAGTTATGCTTAAGCCAGAGTCACAGCAGTCTTCTCCTTGCGACGGGGATGGCTATAGAAGAAGCTGCCGCCGCCGCCAGCCCTGTTGCTGCTGCTCTTCCTGAAGCTGCACCTCCTGCTCCTGCTGCCGGTTTTGTAACCAGATTTTAAAACCAGGGAAACGCTCGTCAAAACGCACAGCGCTCATCGCCAAGATTGTGGATAGGGACAGAGACGATGGGAGTTTGTTTGAACCTGCCTCTAAAACCGTGGCCTGGACCAACGCCGCCGCCGCCGCGGCGGCACCCTCCGGCACGTCGACCTTGGGGTTTTCTGCTGCCGCTACTGCCACGGCGGCAGAGGTGGAGGCGGGGACCTGCAGGTGCAGTCCCCATGGAGCCTTCCGCGGCCTCCCTCTGGGTCGCCGAGCCGCAACAGAGGCCGCTACTGCCGCCATCGCCGCTGCCCCAACTGCCGCCGTCGGTGCTATTGCTGCTACAGCCGATGCGCCCGGTAAAGCTACCGCGACTTCCTCACCTAGCTCTGAATGGGTAAAGCTGTCGGCAGAACCCGTAGCGACACTGCCGACTGCTCCCTGGCCAGCTGAAGCTGTAGCAGCAGCGGCAGGGGCCTTGCACGTAGCGGTACCCATATCAGCTGTAGCCGGCATGGAAAGCAGCGCCGGCGCCGGCGTGGCGGCGGCAGTGCCGCCAGTAGCGGCTGCTGCCGCCACAAACACCAACCGCTGCAGCCGAGCCTCCGATGCCGCCAGGCAGCGTGCGACCGCGGCCGGCGGCCCTTCCAGGAGCTGCTGCCGCCAGGGGAGCGTCAATGACAGCGACCCATGGATCCTGACACGATCACTCCTACCAGCATCACCACCACCATTGTTATGATCTCCACTATTCCCCCCGCCAAGGCTCAGATCTAGTAACCGCTCCGGAACCCTCCGCCGGTCTTGGTTCACACCCAGATTGTCAGGATCCTCATCCAGGACGTGAGTCCGCAGCGTCGCGTCAAGACTCTGCTCCCCCGGCGGCGCTCTTGCCACCGGCGGCGGCAGCGTTGACGTCAGCATTAACTCCACCTCCGCGCGCGCGATGGCTGCGTCCAGCGCACGCCACCGAGCCGCCAGCGCGTCTGGGCTGTAGCCCAACAGCCCAGGATGCCCCGAAAACAGATCCAACGCGCGGGCTGTAGCTGCGGACATGGCATTCGTTTCTGTGGCCGCCACGGCCGCGGTCATTGCGGTTTTTGCAGACCCGACAGAGGACGGCGTGGCGCCTCCGTGGGATGCCTGGACGTTACTGCTACTGCTGCAACTGCGGCTCCTGCGGCTGCTAGTGTTTTCGCAACACGGCTGTAGCTCGTGTGGGGTGATCCCACTTACGGCGGTACTGCTGCCGCGTGCATGGTTGTGGTCTTCGGAAGGCTCCGGCTGTAGCAGGAGTGATGGCGGTGGCGATGGCTGTAGCAGTGGTGACGGCGGCGGCGGTTCAGCGGTCACCACCGCCTGATGCATTTGCTGCTGCTGCCGGGCGTATCGGAACCCATGCTCCTTACTTTTCTCCTCCTCCTCCTCCTCCTCCAACTTGTCCTCCTGCTGCTCCTCCTCTCGCTGCTGCTGCTGCTGCTGCTGTCTTTCCGTCAGTAGAGTGGCAGCAATGGCCTCCGAGAGTGCACGAATTCGATCGCCAACCGCCGCCGGCGTCAGAGCCAGCGCCGGAGGATACCGCCGTACAAACTCAGCCGCCGCGGCCGCCGCCGCCGCAGCAGCAGCAGCAGCCACGCCACCGCTGCCATCCCCTGCCTCCGTCGCCTCCTCCATGGACACCTCCTCGCCAGCCACCACCGGCGCCGCCGACGCTGCCACCAATCCAGCACCAACCCAATCATCAACGCCACGGCCTGCAAAACGGCCCTCGGGGACCGCCCTGCCGCCCAAAACATCTTCCCCCCCTTCACAACACCTCCCCGACATGCTGCCCACATGACCTTCGCCGTCACAACCACCTTGGCAGCCCCAGCTCAAGATTTTATCACTTTTCTGGTATGTAGGGTGTGTAAGCTCTGCAGCTAGGGCCGTCAGCCTCTCAGTTAGAGACGTGGGCCTGAGCTCTAGGAGTGAAGGCCAGGTGATTGCCAGGTGCTGCGCGCCACGTCTGGAGGGTCGAGAGGGGGGGAGGGTTCGGACGGGCAAGTGGGTTAAGATGTACGATAGAAACAGATCAAACAGCAGAGAAGAGTCGTGACACCTAAAACGCTAGACTGGCGGTCTACGGGAGACGTCGTGGCGTTGTGTTGTGTTGTGGGTTGTGGGTTGAGGTGGGTTGAGGTGGGGATGGGGTGAGGAAGGGAAGGGGAGGAGCAGAACGGGGTGGGCTTGTAGTAAGTAGCAAAGAATCATGAAAAGAGGCTCGCGGCCTCATGAACCGCCCCACACGGACAATTCCAAGAAACAACGCGGACTCAGCGCAGAAGGAGATTTTTTGGTCGGGACCGGACCGGACCGGACCGGACAGGACCGGACCGGATGAAGGATGAAAGCCACCGGGCAGGAACACAACACCTCACCCCAACCGGCCCACCCAGGTCTTAAGTCACGTTGCATCACGTCATGACGTCATGACGCCATGTTGTCGTACCAGTACGGCAGCCCACTCTGGCTCGCATGCGTCGCATTCCCGCATCGCCAGACAAGAAACGTCTCAAAAAGTCCTTAAGCTTTAACACATTCAAGGTACAGCACGGTACGGCACGGTACGATAACAGGCTAGGCTGCATATGGCTACCGCACACATACATGGCTTTTAGCTGTACGGCCCAGCTCCTGTACGACACAAACACATTTTAAAGGGAGCTTCCCACATCGCGGAAGGTGACTGACACACACGAGGCACAGAATCACCTGCAAAAGTCCCCGCACATCAGTACGGCAGTACGGCAATCCACTCCCCGAGCACAACGCAAGTGTGTCCCCCCTCCCCCTCCCCCTCCCCCTCCCCTTATTTTGTAACTCACCTATCCATCCGTAAGGTGGACGCCAGCGCCCTCAGATTGATTTCCAACATCGCCGGGTCCCGGGTCAATAGATTGGGCTGCTTAACGGCAGCGGCAGCCGCCTCCGCCAGGCCCGCCATGCTACCGCCGCCGCCGCCATCGTCGTCGTCGTACTCCTCCTCCTGCTCGTCCTCCGCTGGCCCCACCTTCGTGGGGAGGATGTCCGAGTGCACAACTGGAGTCCCAGGGCCCCCGTGTGCCGTTGGTGATTCCGGTAGTCGCTGAGGTGGCGGTGGCGGTGATGTTTGCGGCGCCGGTAGTTGTTCTCGCGGCGAAGCTACTGCTACTGCTGCTGCTGTTGCTGCTGCTGCTGCTGGCGGTTGTCGGAGGCTTTTTGTCTTTGATGTTGGTGGTGTTCCTCCACCTCCCAACACGCGCTGGAGGCCCCGCAGTCGCGACACCACGTCTTCAGGCCGCCACCCGCGGGACTGCACCAGCCAGCTGCCGGCCAGGCGGCGCGCAGTGCTGGGGGTGTACCCGGGAGCCCGCGGGGGAAAGACGAGATGGGGGTCGTGAGGGGAGGGGGGCGGGAGGGAGGGGGGCG